CGGCATTGCCTTGGCAGTTAATAGAACAAGTCACCAATGATTTCTAGCCCTGTCTACCCTGCAGCCAGACCTGCTGCAAGCAGGGAGATGTACACACAAGAGAAAGACACTAGCAGAAATAATAGGTTTTTTTCTTTTCAAGTAAGTTCATGAAATAAACTTTCCAGCAAGAAGGAGAGAGATGCTCCAAAAACCACTCCATTTTCCTCAAGGAGCAACCGAAACCATCTTATATGCTTACACAACAGAACAGCTCAGAGGGACAAAGAGGGGGCTTTTGACCAAATAACATCTTTTCAATGAGCCTTTCCCCCCACAACACAAAACCTCTTGAGAACAGCCAAGGGTCCTGTGCTGGGAGCGGTGGTGGTGATGGCCCTGGCTCTGCTATGACTTGGGGTTGTATAAAGCATGACATGACGTGACATGACATGATGTGACATGACGTAAACATGGTACATGCCACTCTGCAAGGGGAGCTGTTGGGGGAGGCCGGCACTCCAAAAAAAGCTGGGAATGTTATTATATAATGGGAACTTACATAATTACCTATTGCATAATGCCAGGGAAAGGGCCCTCCGTAACGCAGCTGTGGTTTCTATGGCATTTAGCTGATAACGTGACTGCTTCTCAGAGATTCATTTGCACTCTGCTTCAGGAGCCTGCAGCTCAGTCCATGCAGGTGAGACCCTGTGCTTCCAGCAATGTTAGCAGGACAGGTAAGGGCAATAGTAACAGGATCTTATATGCATAGCAAGGCAAGAACATTGAGTTTTGTGCAGCTTTACCTTTGATTTCAGTATTCAAAGGATCAGAGGACTGTCACAAAAGAGCACTATATGAAGCCGCATCCAATGCACAGCCTCCACTGCTTGTAGAAAACAAGGTGGAGAACTGATGGTGGCAGTGGCCAAATCCACTCCAGGCTCAACTCTTCTCTTCCCCTGGCACTTAAACACTATTCTTAGCAGTGCCTTCAGGCAGGGCTCCCACACACTGATGGATTTCAGCAGCTGAGAGGTGACCCAAGGCGACTGCTTAAAAGGAAGAGGAAGGATTAGGAAGAGATTTCAGCATCAGGACAAGATTTGGGCTGTGAGCTTGCAGAGCTGTGGTATATACTTATTAGTATCTTGGCATGGATTTGTTCATGGAACATGCCCTGTGCCATAAAGTCAGAGGTAGCATTACCTTCACTTCATTGCTCACAGGATCCAGCTTTCAGTGACTATGAGGCAAGCGACTGTATGACTCAGTCATTTTCTTTTTCCAGAAGATGCCTAGCATAATGCAGGCATGATCCACAGCTCCTGTGCAGTCATCCAGGCATCTCACGGTATATAGGACACTGCACAGCACCTGGACAAAATGTATACCTGGGCTAAGCAGGGCACTTACTGCAGGCCAGTACTTGGCTTCAGTGTGAGAACAAGCAGAAAAGCAGCAGGGCAGTCCAAGACCAGAATATTTAGGCTCCAGTATAGAAGCTGAGGCTGTTTCTGAGGCTGCATGAGCTCTCTCTGGGGATGCAAACCTCCTCGGAAGGGCTGGGAAATGAGAGCACAAAAGAACTGAAGATTTCCGAGGGAAACTATGAGTGCAGTAAAAAGAAGGGGGAGTACGATTAGAAAACAATGGGCAGATTTTAAAGGCTGGCCCATCCCATGGGCAAAGGGAGGAGATTCTCTTTTTGGAAGTAAGAACATAGATTATAGCCGTGAGACCCTGGATTTGTCTAGGAGTCAGTGGGAAGGCATGAAGGAACTGTGGCATACAGCAGTCCCTTCAGGTGGATTAAACTTCAAAACTCCATAATGGCACACAGAGATTTGTGCACTACTTACTGAAATAATAAAGCAAGAAGTGAATTCCTCCCTCATCCCTCACAACCAACAAATTACTGTAACTAGAGCCTGCCAAGGGACAGCTGGAAAAGGCAAGGGCCTTAAAATCACATATGGGCAAAAAAAGCCAAGCAATCAGCATCCATGCAATATGGTGTGGCTGCCTGACACCCTGAACTCTGTAGCTCAGAGCTACACATAGGAAGCTGTAACAGAGATGCTGGCAGCATGGCTGAGGCTGGGATTTCAAAATCAGGTTGGACTGAAATGCAAGCAGTTGGAAGGGGCAGCTGTTCCCACACCATGCCTTATGCCACAGAGGGTCCTCCTCGCCCTCCTTGCAATGCCTTGGGAATACAGGTGCAAGGGGCACCTTGCAAGGTGCTTTGCCCTGTAAGAGAGTGGGGGGTGCTTTGGGCATGGCTGGGTGCTGCTGGAGAGGCATACACATGCCTGCGAAGGCAGCAGCAACTTCAGCACAGCCAAGATGAGAGCAAGAACAGCATCAGAGGTGAGGAAGCTGAGCCACTGTGCAAGCAAGCGCCCTTTAAACAGCCCACCCTTCCTTGGGACTCACATGCCCTGGGCTGCTCCTCAAGGAAAAGGAATTAACCAGGCACAACCAGGCATTAACCAGGCACTGTGCTCAGCTCAGCTGTGGGATCTCAGGCTCCCAAAAAAGGTTGGGAGAGCACATTGCTTCATGATGAAATTGGGTGGTACAGCTGCAAATTGCCTTGGCCAGCCCCAGTGGGCAGGCAAGTAGCCCTTCAAGGTACCAGCACTGGAGGCTGTGTGTGTTTTCAAGATGGATTTGGAGGCAATGCCAGTAGAACCTCCCCCACCCTGTGATGCTTGTGCAGCTCTTTAGGAAGGTGCAAAATGAACTGGATCAAGGAACTGAGGTGAGTTTAAAGTATTTGTCTTTTGGTGAACTTATTTTGAAGCCAGCTGAGTTCTGCTCTCTGGTTTGTCACACAGCCTGATTGGCAGATACTGGCAGAGGGGAAAAGGGAGGCAGAGCTACTTACGTAGGCATTGCTTGTGAAAGAAACACCCATGAAGCCATCCTCCAAAAGCCAGGGCAGCGCTGTGTAAGCAGTGGCACAGCACACACAAATTAGTGATTCCCTTTGCCTGAGTTTTGGGGGGTGAAAGGCAAGAAACAGACACATTTTTCACTCCCTTTGCCTGCAAAGCAGTCTCTCATCCACAGGGCACAGAGCTCCTGCAAGATAAGAGCCCGTGAGGAAGCCAAGATCTACCCCTTGTTTGTACTGCTGTTTACACTTGCCTTTTAACAAGCTCGAGCAGGTTCTTGCTTCCAGCTGCAGTTGGCCCTTTTCAAAGTTCACGCTCTCATTTTGCATTATCATCCCAATGCCAAGCGCTCCCTAAGAGAGGAGAGGGACAACCGGGACTTCTTCTCTTCTGAGAAGCAGCAGCAATTTAAGCAGTCCTTAATCCAGCAGTGCTTTCTCGGCTCTGCTGGTATCATGGGGAACGGCTGCAGGGAAAGCGATCCCTCTGAAAAAAACACTTGGCAAAAGAATGTTTTCTTCCAGCAGATTAACACTGGATGGCAGTGAGCACTCTCAACACAGTGCTGGTGGCCCGGCCCCTGAGCAGGGCATCTACCACTGTTTGGGATGGGGTCTCTGTTCTGCATCTTTTCCCCATATTGTCATCCTTGCCATTTCATATAATTTTCACTGCTGTGCTTGCAATCAGATCTTTTCACTAGTCCACATTAGGGTCCTGCTGGCAAAACAGCCATAGTGGTGGGGCTTTGTAGTGGTTGCAAGATACTGGCCCAAAAAGAACAAGCGCTGTAAGATCTCACCTGTGTTGAGAATCGTGGTCCTGTGGTTGCTTTGGTGCTGGTACAAGCCAGCATCCTTCCCAAGCTCAGCCTGGCTACCTCTCACCTGTTTGGGTCTAGGGCTGCCTATATGGATGTCCCAGGCTGGGCACCTTTGGAAAGCTCACCCATAAGTACCTTACATACACAGGATCCATGACAGCTAAAAGCTTATCTAGCCTCTTCCCCCGATACCACTAGAGGCAGATGGTCAAGAGATGTGGAAGAAGCAGTCCTACTCCTTCACAGCAGCTTGAGGGTAAAGGACTTCCCAAGGTTATAGTTGCATGCTTGTGTTCAACAGTCTAAGGCAGAGCTCTGCATGAGGTTTTTACATTTTTTAACCCTCTCATACATGCTCCCCAAAACATATTTCAGACACGGCTGCAGCCTTACAAGGTCAAACTGTTAAAACCAACCCGCTGACTTGGTGACTCTGCAGCAGATTAACCAACGTGCAAAGACAACAGTTTGCTCTCTAACCATTCACAAATGGCTTCAAGGCATGTCCCCCCAAAACCCTCAATAAAAACCCTCAATAAAAAGCAAGCTCCATCACGCTCAGAGATCTCAGCACCATGCAGGGCTCTCACCCCCGGCACCTGTTTTATTGTGGGTTCCCCAGACATCATGGCTTTATAGTCTGATCTTCCTCCTTCCGCCAAGTGCTTCAGTGCTGGTGGCTCAGCTGGTTGGATCCAGCTGGTCTGTGGCAGCATCTGCCTGGAAATTGCTTGTCTTAGCCTGAGGTCCTTTATTTCATTCCCTGTCAGCTGCAGCAGAGATCTCGCCGCACGCTGTGGCGCTCTGCTCTAAATGAATCCTTGCTCCTTCTTGGGGTTTTGCTGTTAATTTTCTGTCTGTCCGTGAGTTTACAGCAAGGTCCAAATCACACTGGGTTCATTATCCTCCTGGGGAAAAGGCCAGTGGTTATCTGCTGGACAGGGACAACACTGGGACCACAGGTCAAACAGGGACTGCAGATAGAGCGGGAAAAGCAGGTAGACCTTTTGTGGGATAAACAAGATATTACAAATGTCCCACCCACTGTACATAACCTGGGACTAGAGGGAGTCTGTGGGGTCAGGGAGAGAGTTCGGGAGGAAATTCAGGTGGGAACATGGGCAAGATTTGGCTTTTTTTTTGTTTTTTTTTTTTGAGCAATGTGAGAGGAAAGGAAGCAGGCAAATTAAGTCCTGGCCAGTCTGTCCTGACCCGAGTGAGCATGGCATATCATTGATTCAGTATCTGTTCCCTTCTCAGGGCTATGCATCCTGTTTTCGGGTGTTTTGCTTTACTGGCAGAGATGACCAGGTTGGACGGGGCTTGGAACAACCTGCTCTAGTGGAAGGTGTCCCTGCCTATGGCAGGGGGCTGGAACTGGGTGAGCTTTAAGGTCCCTTCCAACCCAAACCATTCTGTGGTTCTATGTGCCTCTCATTTGCTGAGTGATGAGCCTGATGTCAGGGGCACTCCAGGTACCGGCTCTGCAGATCAACCCAATCTCTTAGCCTAATTCACAGGGATATTTAATACAGGAGTTATTGTGAACCATCACGTCCAACCATCTCATTTCAGCTCACAGCAAAACCATCCGAGTTTCAAGGCTGCTAGCGGCAGCCACCAGACACTACACAAAATAGAGGCGATTGTCCACAAGAGGGAGAGTCGGCGCCAGTCTCGACCGTGATTTTGTGCGAAAGGCACTTCGTTGCCTGGCGAGTGTAGCAGAGCCGTTCCCGTTGCTTCACTTCCTCCTCTAGGAATGTTTCTTCCTCCTGGAGATTCCCCTTTCCACACATTTTTCCCTCCTGCTCTTTCTGCAGATGTCCACCATTTCATCTTTGTGTGGGGTATGCCGAAAAGCCACACCAGACAGGCACTGGATGCTGTGCCATGGGAATGGGACTGTGATTAAGATGGTGTCTGGTCATGTTTGGAGCTCTGAGTGAATTAGTCAGAGAACCAGGTGAAGCACCAGCTCTTCAAACCAGTGACCTTCCTCCAGGCCATCTCGCCCCAGAGAGATGTCCAGCTTCAGCTCATTTCCACAAGCCTGGACAGGCTGTGGCCACCACAAGCTGCTCTGGCAGCAACTGATCTCTTCCATACATCCTTCCAGTTGTCCTCACATCTACACAGGAAGGAGGCATGGACCAGCTGTCAACCCTGTGCAGTAGAGGGGATAATCTACCAGCTGCAGGTCCACATACCTTTCCCTTGCCACGGTCCATACACCCTGCACTACGCAGCCTTTCCCAGGGCGAGCCCTCCACCATGAACAGTCAGGGCTCTGTGCCAGCCTCTGCCGATCTTGCTCTTCCCTTTCCTTCCCTGCTTTCCCCTCATCAGGGTTTTGGTGAGACCTTCTCCACTCGGCAGCCTCTGTGGCTGAAGGTGCTCCGTCGTGCTACACCAGCAGCATTTTCCCTGTGGGATCATCCCAGTAGCTCCACAAACAGCATCCCTAAGCCACCAGGTCCAAAAGGTTTCAAGATACATTGTGATGATGTTGGCCAGTGATTTAGCAGAAGCTCTAATGAAGCTCGTAGCATTCCTGGGGGAATTTGCTAACCTGAGAGCTTAGAGAAATGTATCCGAAGGAGATCCATACAAACCGCATCACCAGGATGACCACGAAGACCCCAGGCATTGCTCCCGTCACCTTGGCCACCCTCTGGCCACCACTGGCCTCCAGCTTGTGCCGAGCTGGCTGTGGTGTGGTGGCAGCAGCAGCCAGTGATGTTTCTGCAAGCATGGAGGAGAAAATCAGCTCTCCTAGGGAAACAAAGCAGGGGAGCTGCTGGCTCCCTTTGGAGAGAGGGATTTCCAGCCTGAGAACAAAGCTATGGATGCTTCCCCCAAAGCACATTGCGCATGCTGGTATTAATATTTCAGGCACTGCATACAGGACGGCCCCAGAAACAAGCACTGACATGCAAGCATATGAGCTCCTAGGTCTGAGCACTGGCCAAACAGCAGTGCCAGCTGGGGGCATTGGGCAAGCAGGGCAAGGAGAGCTCTACTGTGTCCAAAGCGAGATGATTTATCAGTGTGCCCGCAGAACCTGGCTTGCAGGACAGCCACACCATTGTGAGAGATGCTGCACGTGATAGGGGATGCAAATCTACAGAGAACATTGAGGGAGGAGAGAGGTGCCAGCTTTATTGTAAGCCAAAGCTTTAATTGCTCTGCTCCAAATTACAGCTGTGGGACTGGGAGAGCTCATGCACCCAGAAAGCCTTTTAGAGCAGCTTATCACCATCCAGCGGGTGCAGAAAAGCACAGCGTGAGGAACCAGCACCTAATCCCAGCTCCCGCAGTCACTCAGAGCGCCTTGTTCAGCATTACCTGCTCCTTTAGGGTAACCTGAGAGGATACAAGAAGACAACAGTGTAAGCAGCAACTTAGCAAACATGACTAACTACTGTAGGTAGCGTGTTTTAACTTGGCTTTAGGCATGCTGACAGGAAATAGCATAATCAAAAGCCATCAGACATGAGAAGGTGAAGAAGGAAGAGAAGGGCCACCCCCTTGGCAGGGCTGAGACAGCAAGGTTATTTACAAAACAGCTGGTAGACATATGTCTTATTTATACAGGATAAGAAAACTAAAACCATCTGCTGTCAGTGCAAAGTTCTCTTTGTGTTATGAGCAGGATCATTTAATAATATGCAGTTACTTCATACAGATTAAGACAGAAGTAATTAAAGGAAAGGTTGTGCTCTGAGGCAGAGTTCCCCCGGCACTCAATTCTAGTCCTTGGGGAAGCTCTCACTTGTAGGCACCCCCAAAATCAAATCCCCAGACTTCAGAGCATTTTCCCCAGCAGCTTAGCTGTTGTGTCCTTTGAAGTAACATTTTAGGTTTAAATTCAGATCTTTATCCTCCTTTCTTACCTTTAGCTTCTTGCTGGTTTATTATCCATGCAGCCATGAATTTCAGAACGCCTTGCCTCGTTAACATGCAGACCCCCCTTTGATGTGTCTCTGTTACACCACACTCTGGCCATTCAAGGCCAGGCTGGATGTGGTTCTGGGCAACCTGCTGTAGATGAAGATGTCCCTGCTCATTGCAGGGGGTTGGATTGCATGAACTTTGAAGGTTTGGGTTTCCAAGCCAAACCATTCTGTGACTCTATGTGCATTGCTGAGAGCCCAGGTTTATGGGGCAGGTTCCCGTGCTCCTGCCAGGGATCAGGGCTTGCTCCCTGCCCTGATGAAGAACCTGAAGGTCAGAGTTAGGAGGATATTAAGGGTTAGAAGAAGACCTGCCTTGGTACCAAAGCTGGGAACAAGGTCTCCTGGGAAATGTTTTCATCTGAAAGCAAAATAAACCCGTGTAGATCCCTGATACAAAGCACTGCCAGGATGCCAGGAGGCTTTTGGCTTGCCAGGAACCTAGAAGAAATAATTTGAGCCTGAGTGAGGTTGACATCAAGATTTTCTCTCTTTCCTCTCCCCTCTATGAGCTCACTGGTGAACCAGAAGCGATGGTTTTGGCCATCTGGAGAGTGAAATCACAACAGCAGCAAATGCTTTTCAGGTGCCTCAGTGAAGTATGAAACTTGCTCCTTCCTTTCTGTCTCTGCTCATGTGTGCGTGCATTTTGAGCCTCCTTTCACCTCCGCAAGAACCTGACTTCAGTCCTCTTGCAGCAGGAAAACATTAAACCATGTCTGCCCCAGCTCTCCATAATTTTTCTTACCTGCACAGCACACACTGGCCATGCCGTGGACCAGGGCACTGTGGCACAGAGGTGCCTCCAGCACTGCCTCAGCACACAGGTGCTGCTTTGTACCCACACGGGGAGACCCAGACAGCATCCTTGGGACAGGGCATTGATGGCTTCAAGGGGACAAGGGGAGGGAAAAAAGAAACCAATAAACTCAAGCGATGAGGAACACAAGTGCTCACCATCCACTGACCAATACCCAGTCTGGCCTGAGCAGCAACTGGTCCCTTCTGGGTGACTCCCCCCAGTTTATATTCTGGGCATGATGTGCTGTGGTATGGAATACCCCTTTGGCTGGTTTGGGTTGGGTGTCCTGTCCTGTCTCTGCTTCCTCCTGGCTTCCCCTCCTCTCTGACAGAGCGTGAGACTGAAAAGTCCTTGGTCAGGGTAAGCATTACTTAGCAACAGTTAAAACATCAGTGTGTTATCAGCATTGTTCTCAGACAGAAGCCAAAACACAGCACTGCACCAGCTACTAGGAGGGAGAAAAATGACTGCTACAGCTGAACCCAGGGCAGGAACCAATGCAGCAGCTTTCCATAGTGATGAACCCAAGGGAACAAAGCAGCAGAGGGATATTTTGTGAAGGCCAAGCACACCCCCCCATCTTTGCAGATGTGTTTTGCTCTGTAGCCGCACATTCCCGTCCCGCTGAGGCAGCCTAACCCTGACTTCTTGCTCCTGCTTTTTAGAAAGCTACCGACATTTGAAACAAAGCAATCTAATTAAAGAATAACTATTTAGCTTGAGACAGGCAGGCAGGTATTCCGGCCCATTTTCTGACATGATGCATGATCCGACGGGAGCAGCGCCGCGGGCGTTGTGCGCTGTTCAAACCCAATTTAAAAATACACGGCGTGGCAGCAAAAATAGACGTGACCCTCGGCACAGCCATCACCACACGCATAAACAGCTCCTGTAAAATGCCACCGGTGATTTGCGTGGCAGCAGCGGAACAGCAGCACCCACCTTCCTAAGTGCTGCTGTGATAAGCCCATGTGAACACCATTGCAGCACGTTCCCATGGCAGGGCTTGCACAGCTGCCTCAGCTTTGGACCCCCAAATTAGGGCCCAGCCTTTCCTGAAACCTTAAGGGAAATTCCTGTCCCCTTATGCATGTGACCTGACATCCAGCTCTTGGCATGCTGAGAGATACCTGAAATGACTCTGCTACCTTTGCCACATCTGAATTATTGTGACGTCTAAGTGACAGGTGAGAGCCAGCAGTGTGGGGAAAATAACCTTTACACCCTTAAACACTGAGGAGCTCACATCCAAGCATTCACACCCCAGAGATGCTGAGGAGCATCTGCAGGGATGCAGGATGCAGAGATGCAGGAGCAGCAGCACCAGCTCCAAGCCCACATGCATGCCTGGCGATTGTCCCAGTCCGAGAGCTGTGGCTCAAACCCTGGTGCTCCCAAAGCAGCCCTCAGTTGCAGCAGAAGGGGATTCAGGCACAACCCCAGCTTTGGTGAGAGGGGTTGGGAAACACAAGCTATAGGGCCACACGTCACCCGTGAATGAGAAAAACATTTCTGAGTGGCCTGAGCCTGTGCTGGGTCCCTACAGGAGCAAAGGGGTATGGCCTCACACATGTGTGGCTCCATGTGAAAGCACAGCTACCTGCAAGACCTAATGCAGTCTAGAGGTAAAAGAGATATGAGAGACCCTTTCAGGCCCACCTTGGTACCCATACATGGGAAACCAGCAGGGCACTTATGGGGTTAGATACAGAAGTAAAACCCTAAAGGAAGTAGTTCTGGGATGGGAAACCACAAGGGAGCAAATCACACAAGACCACTGAGTTGGTGTACCCACATCCAGGGAAGGCATTAACCAAGCAACGCAGTGTCTCCTCACCACCATTGTGATGTCTAATGGCCCACACATTTTGATATCAGAAAAGTGTAAATTGCAGCGATGGCAACTTCAAGCCAGCTTCAAGCAGGCAGTACCAGACCCAGGTACATCATGGCCCTGACTATTCCAATGGGTAAGACACAGCTCCGGGTGTTCAGGGTGCTGCTGAAGCCACATCCATGCAACCCACGTGCAGAACAAGTCAAGAGGGGATGCTCTGTGTCCTGAGAGGCAGGCTAGACCTGGCTTTATTTGCTCTGGGTCCTCATTTTAGTTCTATCTGCATGAGCAGATTATAAAGTACAACTGAAAATATGCCTTTCTGGTTTTGCTGCCTTGGATCATCGTGTCTGCTCCAGCCCTGCCGTTCCCGTGGGTCATTCCTTTGGGCACATTCATGGCGTGTGGTTTCTCTGACATAGATGGTGAAATGGCAATGTCTAAAAGCATTTCTATTTCCCCCAAAGCCTGGAGTCAAATTGAAGGCAGAAACATTTCTGGGCATGAGGCTTGGCTCTGGGCATGTTAGGGCTTTGTCCTGCAGGGAATGCCTGGCTGCCAGAGGGCAGAAGTGAAGGGTTTGGACAAGATAACTCCTGCTCTGCAGCAGTCCCTGAGCAGCACAGCAGAGCTCAGCACCTGGGACCTGATCGTTTGCAAGGCAGAAGAGATTCACCCATTGCTGGTTTTCTCTTCCTGGCAACTCTCGCTGTGTTTTGGGCACAGATGTTCAGAATCAGTGCTGGTAACTGATGTAGAAACACGTGGCCCCAGGAGATCCACAAAGCTGCCGTAGCAGGGAGGGAATGGAGTGGATGCACTTCGTGAGAAACATCTCCAGGGTTTGCCTCAAGGCCTGGCTGTTTTCCAAGCCATGCTTTCTGCACACCTAGGCTTGCTGGGATCTCAGCCTTGGCAGTGCCCATAGGATGCTCCTCTGTGCCTCTGGGGCCTCTCAGCTGTGAGGATCCAACACCAGAGCATCAAGTACCTCACATCTTCCCAAGGAGACCCAAGTGTAAACCCACCGTGCATCTGCCCAGCTCAAGCTGTTGCCTCACAGGAACAACCTCGCTCTTGGCTCTGCACCATGGCCACACCAGACGTGCCCCCAGTGCCATCAGCCGCTGGAGGCAGAGGGGTGCTCAGCCAAGGTGTTTCTCACAGCACCACATCATTTTTGTCAAGGTGTTTCATTTCTAACAGAGAAGCTTGAGGAAAAGCAGCTGCTGAAGACTCGCAAAGCAGGATGAGAGCACACCATGGGAGAGGCTCCAGAGCACTCATTTCATTTCCTTCAAGTGGGTTTATTACCCACCCAGTAGGGAAGGGGGTTGGTTGCCTTTTCCCAGTATGAGAAGCCAGGGGAGGCTGGGAGGCCGCTCACCCCCAGCCACAACTCACGCACTCCACATGCTGTTTCTTCCCCCTAACGGGAAACACTTACAATCATAGGATCATAGAATCATTAGGGTTGGAAAGGACCTTACGATCATCCAGTTCCAACCCCCCTGCCATGGGCAGGGACACCTCACACTAAACCTTGTCACCCAAGGCTTCGTCCAACCTGGCCTTGAACACTGACAGGGATGGAGCATTCACAACCTCCCTGGGCAACCCATTCCAGTGCCTCACCACCCTCACAGTAAAGAACTTCTTCCTTATATCCAATCTAAACTTCCCCTGTTTAAGTTTTAACCCGTTACCCCTTGTCCTGTCACTACAGTCCCTAATGAAGAGTCCCTCCCCAGCATCCCTATAGGCCCCCTTCGGACACTTGGAAGGCTGCTGTGAGGTCTCCACGCAGCCTTCTCTTCTCCAGGCTGAACAGCCCCAACTTTCTGAGCCTGTCTTCATACGGGAGGCACTTAAACACGTGGCCAAGGAAACTTGGTGAACACAGCTCCTTGCACACCGCACAGTGATTCATCACCACCAAGAGAAAGCCCCTTGGTTCCCTGCCAGAGGACCAGGTCATGGCCTGCAAGTCACAGTGGGTTTTCTGAGATACCTCCCTGCTGTGGCTCCGAGCACCCCAGGCCATTGCTGGGGCCTTGGATGGTCCCCGCTCCCACAAGTGGGGTTTAGCAAGAAGACACTGGCTGATGGTGAGGAAATGTTTCACCATAGCCCACAGCTCACTGGTGATGATGGGGACTGTTGACTCGCCAGCATCCATGCTGCTCAGCAGAAAGACCCCTGGTACTTACGCTGGTGTGGACAGGTCCTGACAGCGTGTTGCACGTAGTATTCACCATCACTGGCAAGCCTGTGGGAATGGCAAGCTTCACCAACCCTGTGGTTAGCCCAGGTATTTGCTCCTGTCAAGTCAAAGCTATTTGAGAGCCCAGGGCTGAATTGCTGTTTTGCACAGCCACTCAGTGACCTGAATTGCAGAGCTGGGCTCTGCCTGGCCTCCCTCACACACACAACAGCCCTCAGCCACAGCAGGACCTAGATCTCAACCAGGGATGAGTTGACTGCAGCATTAACTGTCATCTGCCTTCAGGGCTGAGTCTCATTCAGTTTGACCCCTAGCAGTGTGTTAGACTTGTCTCTCTGGAACTTGGCTCAGTTGCACTCATGCCACAGCATTAGTGGCAAGCAAGGGTGGGTCAGGTCCATTTCTACACCGTGAGCCCCATTGCTGGTCTGTGGAGGAGAAATCAGTGCATTAGGCCCAGGTCACAGCCCTGCAGCAACTCATTCCTCACCGTCCAAGGCAAGCTCAGCAGCCACTGGCTTTTCCCCACCTCTGAACATTTGGTTTTGCCTCCCCAACTTTCCATTCAGCCCACCAGGATGCAGGTATGAAACCTCCTACCACCACTGCACGGGATTGTGCCTGTTTTCCCTTTTCCTTTCTCTATAGCCAAGTGCCACATGGGAGCAGGCAGCAAACCCCTGGTGCCTGCCCGTGATCACACTGGGGTGAGACAAAAGCCCTCCCAAGCCTCCCATGCTCAGGCCACCAGCACCTGCATCCACTCTTCACTGGGAAGAGACCTGCCTCCATCCTCAGTGGAAGCACGGGGACAGCCAGTAGCATCTCACCAGAGTGAGCCACACAGGGCCAAAAGCAGGAGCTCTTTCAAGGGAGCAGCATCTCTTGGAGCAGAGGCAGCAGAACCAGGGTGCTCTGACCAAAGAAGTAAAGCCCCAGTGTTCTAAAGGCAAAGGGAGGTTTCCCACCCTCTCAGTGGTGAGGACGGGGGACATCCTCTCAAGAACAGGAGAGGGCTGCAGTGCTCTGAGGCTGCAGATGAGTGCAGAGGCTGCTGCAATAGAAGCATAAACCCGCCGGACCCGCTGTTGCTGCAGAGCTCTATGAAATGGGTGATTTCTGAGCAGAGTTTGGCTGGAGAGCGCCGGTGCTATGAAAACCAAAGAAGTGAGTTTGGGCTTGGGCGCTTCCTCCTGGCACGTAAAAAGGTGATTTGTGATTCAGAGGATGAGGAACTTATCATCAGAAGGAGCTGGGACAGAGCTCGGTGTTTACACATGGAAGAACAAGGCAGGCACCAGGAGCAGATATATTTATACCCATCCATTAATAAAAGAAGCCGAGTCAACCATACCTTTGTGCTAAAGTTAGAGCAGAGCACTCAACACGGCCTTAAAAAGGCAAGAAAGTTTCCACAAAGTGGAACAGCTGCTCCCGGTGTCGGCTCTGCGCATCCTGAGCCCGGCACTGGGAACACGAGCCAAACGTGGAGAGGCTTCTCCATGCAAGAAGGCTGACTGCAGGGGTCTGGTCGTGGGGTGATGGCCACTGCACATCAGGAGACCTGCAGAAGACAATGACCTCTTCCCATAAGCAGAAATCCTCTGGCTTTGACTCCAGTGCTCTTCGCTTCCCCAGTCATGGGGCTCAGACAAGCCTTCACCTCCACATGGGAGAAGCCATGAGGGCAGGCTGGCCACATGGATGAGGACTTGGTTGGTGAGGCTGTGTCCATCAGCCAGCAGAGGGAAGGGGAGCAGCACCCAAGGGTTGCAGGTCTGGATTAGGGAAGGGTCTGTGCGAGCCCAGGGGGAACAGAGAGCACCCAGGACAGTCAATAGCTTATTGATATAATGGTTATATTGATGGCTTATATTGATATAACCTCCAGCTGAGGTTATATCAATAGGGCTGCCCAGCATGGATCAATGGAAGCTCCTGGATCAGGATTTGACATTTAGAAAGGCTTCAGAAATAACTAACTGCAGCAAGTCCCTTAACACACAGATAAGGCTGGAGCTGGGTGGCCTCAACTCCCAAGCACCAGGGTGTGTTACAACACTGACTGGTAGGAAAGGCCTAGGAAAGTTGGATCTTTGTTCCTTGCTTCTAGAAAGCGATCTGTTGTGCTTCTTCTTGCCAATAAACACGAGCTCCTATAGTCATTTCCCTGTCTGCCATCCCTCTTCCCCCCCACTCCAGCCCCTGAATCATACCGGAAGCTCTTTGCTGAACTGGTCCCAGCTCATGTGGAGCCACAGGAGCCAGCACTGGATGTGCTGTGACAGAAATGACCACGCTGCAGGCAAACTGAGAACAACCACAAACTATAGATCGTGTTTAAATCAACGTTAAGTAAGTGCATCGCAGTCTTTGTTCTCCATACCCCAGTGAAAACAGCCACAAGTGACAACCAGTCCCAGGCTGCGCAGGGAAGGAAACGGGACTGAGGGCAAGCACAGGAGGCTATGGGCCACCTCTCACCCTGCAGGACATGTTGAAGTTGTTGGCATTCCAGCATGGATTTCGCTCCCGAGCTCATGCTGAAAACGCTAGTTACATGAACTGGACTGACCTTTGAGCAAGACCTATGTCTTGGACCTCCAGGGGTTTCTTCCAACCAACATTATTCCATGACTTTGTGATTTCCTTTATAAAGACATAAAGGAAGCATGCAGGTAGCTCTCCATCCCTCTCCTGTTACCCAAAGGGATGCTCAGGCTGCCATCCCCAAACTCCTGTAGTCAGTAACAGACCAGCAGCGAAGTCTGGAGAACAGGTCAGCTTCCCACAGAGGCAGAGATCAGGGCTTCTTCCTGCACCTCCAGGCTCAAATCTCCTGGGGCAGCTTGTCAGTGCCAGTGTAAGACACAGCCTTAGCAGTCACACTAACCTCACCCTGGAGCTCTTCTGCAAATTCAGGTTAGGTTTATCAATCATTTCAATAAGATCCAAATGCTCTCCAGCAAATGCTATCATTTAGTGACCGTGTCCCACCATGCCACTGCCAAATACAGCTGCACAGCACAAGGATTCTTGCTCAGCAACCATGTTGGTGGACCTGGGGCTGGCACTGAGCCCTGCGGCCTGGAGCCCATGTCCCTCTTCTGAGCTACTTCCTCATGTGATGGAGGGACTGTCACTTAGTAGATGCTACCTTTGCACACTGAAACAGGCACTGTGGCTTGCGGTGGGCAATGGGCAGCTGTGACTTGCAGGGTTTGCCTTTTATTTATTATAATTACTTATAGTTTACAGAAAGGGAATTCATTACATGAGCAGTGTTAATTTCCTTAGCCAGTTTGTAGTGCATCCAAGGAATCTGTATCTGGTTCCTTTGACCAGCTCTACTTTTGATAAACTCATCGTAAGCAATGCAATGATCATAGACTCATAAAATTATTTGGGTTGGAAGGGACCTTAAAGCTCACCCAGTTCCAACCCCCTGCCATGGGCAGGGACACCTTCCACTAGAGCAGGTTTACTCCAAGCCCCATCCAACCTGGCCTTGAACACTGCCAGGGATGGGGCAGCCACAGCTTCTCTGGGCAACCTGTGCCAGTGCCTCACCACCCTCACAGGGAAGAATTTCTTCCTAATGCCTAATCTAAATCTACCCCCTTTTAGCTTAAAGCCATTGACTGAAATACCATATTACAACATTCTGAATGACTTACGAGTGAATCCCAGGATCAGCCATTTTATAGCTTTTCCTTGAAATGAAGGTAGGCAGGAAGACCTGGAGCACCTTTGATTCGCTCTGGAAGCATGCCTCTGCACCACCTTTCTCCCAGTGAAGCAGAGCTTTGTTTCAAAGCCTCTCCCTGTCTCCTGGATGCAGAATCCCCATACCAGCTCTTCCACAACAATTATTCAGCCCTGATTTCCAGGCATCTAATTTTAGCAGTCACTGTTGAACATCCTCTCGAGTTATTGTTAGAATGAAATGAGGATCATCTGACAGGAACACATTGCAGCTCCTCAGTAAATACTGGGAAGGAATGCTTAAGGAGCTCAGGTGCCTTCCTGCACCCTTACCAACAACCCCACTACGTAGGGACCCATCTTATCCCACCCCTTTTAGTCCAGGTACCTTGCATTTCCAAAAGAGCAAAATCCTGTGCCCACCTCAACTGTACTGGGCATATTTCGCTCCATCATTTTGCTCAGTTACCAGTTTCTATAATTACTTGTAAATTTGCCACAGGGATTTATTATTTATCATTTTTAGGATCATTTCAGCTGAAAGGGCATCTGATTATATGCATATATATTTGCATGAGCTCTTTTTCTGGAGGATCTCTTAAGTAGTTCACAGAATATGAATGAATTTCTGCTTGTCTGCAGCACTACTCCTTTTACAGGCAGGACAACAGGGGCTGTCATTAGGAGACATGTCCAAACTCCCAGAGGAAATTTATGCCGAGCACAGGAACACCGGCTTCCAGTGGTGTGTGTTAACTATTAAACCAGCTCTAACACAGACAGCGGGAGGTTGGCAACACAGGCATTAAAGAAAATGCTGATACTGTAATTTGAAGTCGTCGTCTCTCCTTCCACACCAACAGGTTCAAACACAGATTAGGCTTAGAAAGAGAAAAAAAACCAGGCTCCTTATCAGATAGCAAACAAATGGCCCTCTTCTGCTAGTAAGCAGCTATGGGAAAGAACAGCAAGGAAAGGTGCTGGTGTATGAACAGACAGGGCTGGGATTTTGCCCTTCACAGAATCATGGAATAGTTTGGGTTGGAAGGGACCTTCAACGGGCATCGAGTCAAACCCTCTGCAATGAGCAACTTCAAGGAGATCAGACTGCTCAGGACCACATCCAGCCTTGAGTATCTCCAGGGATGGCGCATCCACCAACTCTCTGGGCAACCTGCTCCAAGGCTTTGCCCTTTATCACTGTTAAGAAGATGCTATCATTCTCACTCTTCACACCAGCCTCCCTTCTTTGTGTTTTACCTGCTAGGGATGTAAACCAGCAAAGTTCATCCAGATGCACTGAAAAACAGACAACACATGGGAGCCAGCAGACTGGTGTTTCTCTCTTTTATTTAAAAACAGTGCTTCATTACCATTTGCAAAGGGTTAGGAAGGGTTTCCCCCCTTGCTTAGAGTTTATAAAAGCCAGCAACATGATCAATAATTTATACACATGGATAGTAATACAAAAAAAAGGAATAAAAGCTAAAGATCTAACTACTCCAACCTTCACAATTCCAGCTACTTGATAATAATAGGAATAACCCAATGAATACTGTATGGTCTGAAAGCTACTATACAATATGATACTTAACGAGGGAGGGCGGGAAGTTAGAGGCTGTCACAAAGCCCTGGGATGCAGATACTGCTTCTCCAGAGTCAGCAGGGAAATGGGACCCTGGGCAAGCGGCTCGGGCATCCTAGGAAATGATCCAGGGGAAGGGAACACATCCCACTCGGGACACATCCTGTTCCCCGGCGGTACCTGGCAATGGGAGGTGCTGGGGAGACCGCGTGAAGGGGCAAGTCTGTCGTTGCCATTGGAGGTGCTGCGGCATCTCAGCCTCGCACTGAACGTCTCCAAGTCTCAAGTAGATCAGCCTGTGAGGTCAGTAAAATGCTCCACCAGCTCCATAACGCTCTACAGCCCTGGTTCTCATCTGCTATCAGCCCCAGGTTTTAGCTCCAGGTATTTACAAGCAGGATTTATCATATTAAAAAAAAAAAAAAGAAAAAAAAAGAAGAAAAAAAAAAAAGGAAAAAACCCAGACCCAAATCACATCCCCTGGGGTAAGAGAGGATTATCTCGTCACTTGATAACACAGCTGAATCGAGCTGCTGAAACTACAACACGTGCACACACAAAATACTGTGAGCAGGAAAAGAATCAATAGAAAAACATGACCATAACTGAGATTACTGATGTGGGAGAGGCCCAAATTCTGTAAGGAATTCCCTCCTCGGGGAAGCAACAAACCCCACCAGCAGCAGAGAGCTGGGAAGCTGGCAGAGATTTACTGACCCACTTGAGAACACACAAGCAAACAAAAAGAAGAGTAAAAAAGCAAATCCATTCCTAAGGTGAACCAGCACTTTGCTGACTGCCAGCCAAGGCAATGTGCGGGTGGACGGCTTCAGACACCAGCAATCTCCTGGTGAAATCAGGCAAGGGGTTTTGGCTGATGTGTTCTTGCTCTACCACGAGTCAAGAGGCAGCGTGGGAAGCCCCAGAGCCTGTTTGCCAAGGGCCCCATTTCACGCTCTGGCTATCAGACTCCTGCTTGCCTTGTTGGCTGGAGTTTTTACTGTAGAAGAGAAGTTTAACCAGGGTTGGAGGGCAGAGAGGGCGATCAATGAGGTGGGGGTGGAGGGAAAGGGCTTTTCAGACATTAACATCACCAAAAATAGTGTTTTATGCAACAAGGAATCAAGTCTCACTGGTGTATACTACAAAATGTTTGACGTTTCCCAAGAGCATGTCAAAATAAAAACACAAAGAAGTTTACGTTGGATGTTCATCTTGTTCACTAGGTTGGGGTTTTTTTATACCCCCCCCCCCCCCTCCTATATCAAAACAGTGCAAACAGGTAACACACTTGAAAAATCACCCCTCTGCACCAAGGACAGCGTTACCCTGACCCTGCCAGGCTGGAGGGCCACAGCAGCAGGCTGGCTGTGCCTGCTGCTTTCCCTTTGGAGCTAGACTCGGCAAAGGTGCTCCCCAGAGCTGGTGTTTGGGTTTCCCTTTATTGAATTCCTAAGTGCTCCCCAAACCCGTCCTCCACTTGCCTCCTCCTTCAGGGCTGGGATGGGAAGGTACACATAGGGATGGGTGGGAACTGGGAGGCTCAGCTTTGTATTCCCTGCTGCTGTGAAGCCATGGGTGCCGGAACTGAAAGCCCAGCAGCCAGCTCTCTTCTGGGGCAAGGAAATCATTTCATTAACCATTCCACAACCAGAACTCGAGCCAGCTATTCAGGTAACCCTCCTCAGCTCTCGCTGTGCCCTTCACATCCGTAAGATCTCAAAATGGGTGAGAACAGGGGATATACTTTCACTTCACTTTAGGGACAGGGAAGTGATGTCTAGAGTAGCAACATGACTGCTCCATGATGACCCTTGAGGATAACTGACAGAGCCCAGCCCAAAACACAGCTCTTGGCCTCCTGAGCTAGCACTCTTCTTGCTGGGCAAGTCTGCTCTCGGGCACTGAAACAGCCGAGCCACAGCTATTTTGAAACATGGCTTTGTCAATCCGAACTCGTGACACAGCATCCACGTAACTGCTTAACCTGGGAGAAGCTGGCTCTAGCAGGCTCATACTGAGCTCCCCGTTGTCTCCAGGTCCCATCATGGCTTTACTTAGAAAAGCTAACCCACCTACAGCAGTGCAGCCTCCCTAGCACAGGGACAGCAACAACAGTTTGTTAACATGCTGGGTATCAATATAACTTATTCCCAGTAGAGAATATGCGATACCAGCAGAAGTCATCTTTGTACCAGCACAACTGTACCCACAAGGAAAGACAGAACAGCATATTAAATGAATCAACTCTTCAGTCCAAAATTTTATCAGTATAATATCATGTGCTAGCCAGACCTATTGCAAGACAGTACAAACAGCAAGACTTAAAGAAACATCTTTTCCTCTACATCAAGAGGAATCCCAGATGCCACCAGACTAGAAGGTGACACACAGCAAGCTATTTGCCAGGCTGCCTGTGCGGTTTCCCTTGGAAAGCCAAGCCCTGCTCTGCAAGGGACCTGTGGCTGCAGACCCATCTCAGGGCAAGCACCAGCTGCCATCGGTCAAATAAGCCAGGGCCTAGTTTAATTCATTAAGTTTAATTCATTAAGTGTAATTAATTTTGCATAGGGAGATATAGGCTTTGTCCTCACTTCTTTAGAAGATGGATATAGCCACGGCTTGGTTACTCTGAATGCATATCAAACCAGTTCATAACACATCTGAGTGAAACCAGAGCTGTTGTTTGCCAAGAGGGAAGAAAGGCTGAAGAGCTCTCCCACCATGGCCCAACACTCACTCAAAATTCCAGCTGGCATGCAAGTTTCTGGGAGGTCCGGTGCTCTGGAGACCTGGAACCAGTGAGCTCCCTCCAGCCCCCAGCTGTGCAAGCATCCCGGCATCTGCAGCCTACTACTGAGAGCACGAAACTGGGATACCAGCGAGCTGCCTCAGCGGGCATCCTGCAGCATTAACTATGGAGTCAAAGAGACACTGGCTGGCTAATGCACTGGAGAAGCCTGGCAGGGAGCGACCGGAGCAGGCCGGGCTCGGATACAGGAGAAATCAGGCTGGATGGTCTAGAGCAGGTATTTCTCGGAGATCATACAGCAAGGGACCACAGCCCTGAAAAGGTTGGGCGCTTCTGCACTAAACCCATCTCTCCTAACATACTCAGGAGGGCTGAAGCTGCCATGCATAGACTCTGCTCGGAGGCAGAAATGGGGCTGGCTTCCCTACTCCCAGAGAGGCCAAGGGGTGGGAGGGATTGCAGGCAGCACTGCCAGGGCAGGGGAGGGCACTGGGGCAGTCAGAACCAGCTGAACTGAAAGGTAGGAAAAGGGGCAGAGGGATGAGCAACCACCACTGCCGGGCTCCACAAGCTGCACTCCTCCCGCTCGCAGCCTGCTGCACCAGAACTGCCTGCGGGCGAGGGAAGGGATGGCCTCAGACAGCCTCTCTGCTCACAGGTAGGTAGAACAAGTCCAGTAGAGACTTCTGCTGCAGAAGTCCCCTGGCTGCCCTGCGGTGGAAACGGCTCCCCCTGAATATGACTATTTCTCCCACCAGTCCTCACTCCCCCCTACCCCAAACTCAGGCAGTAAAAGCCCCCGGACACCCTGAGTGCCCCTCATTTCCTAAATTTTGCGAAAGCCCCAACACACTGTTCCCCCCTCCCCGTTTTCAAGCTAACTAAAATATTTATATACAAACAACAACGAAATTGTCATAACAGCAACAAACCAAACTTTGGCTTGGAAAACAAAAAAGTTTAAAAACCAACAATAAAACCAGAAAGAAAAAAAACAAACCCAAAAGGTGGCCAACAGGCTGGCAGTTTGGTGTCCCCTTTTGATCTAGCTATTCCTCCAGAGAATCAATAGCGTCAGGGTCTCTAGATTAACTAAAGGCTTCCTCATTCTTCCCATTCGAGGTGCCTCCTCTCTGCCACACACAGAGAGGACACGTGTATCGCTGGGGAAAGAGCAAAGAAATTCATGGTTGTGCGTGGCTGGGCCAGGACACCTCCCTGGGAGCTCTGCCTGTTGACATCGCTTAGTGTTAAATGCAGCAGGTTTCCCATGCTGGTATCAGCAGTGGATGGAGCAGCCGGTGTATGACAGGAGTTGGAGAGGCTCCATCAACAAACCCACACTCCAAGCAGTCTTTCTGTGGGCAGTGAGCTCACCCGAGTACCCATCGAGGCAGCCTAATCAAACCATGCTTCTGCACTCCTCTGCCATGAGGTTAAGAGACCCTGCCTCTGAGCATGCGGTTACTGGGGGCACTCTAGGAGCCAGCAGCTGAGTAGGGAGGTCTGGAGAGAAGCACCTCCCCATCACAGCACAGCTCACACAGTCATCCAAGAATGCTGACTTTGAAACACAGTGAAATCACTGTCCACTGAGAGCAGAAGGGAGATGGCCTTGGGAGTCGTGGAGCCTTCTGCTCAATAGTCTCTCTGATTCTGAATCTTCTAATATGTAGTGTCTATAGGGACTCAGCAGACCAGGTACGCAACTTTCTGTAAGAGGCTGGGCAAAACACAACTATGTAAGGGTGTGGAAATATGGTGGGAAGTTCCTATGAATTCAGAGCTTGCACAAACTGCTTCTGCCTCCCCTTAAAACTCCTGACAGAAACAAAACTACTTCAGGATCAGGTTTAGATGTAAAAGACCCTCTTCCCCCACACAAACCCAAATGCTTGCCCCTCGCCTCAAGCAGCTTATACATGACTTGTGTTTCCTCACTCATGTTATTTGAAACAGATTACTTGCAGAGGCGCCTACACATCCCAAGATGAACAGGAGGAGGGACCTTGTATGCTGGACCTCGATGCATCGGAGCATGGTTCTTCTGCTAGCTTTCTTCCTCTGCGAGGCTGCACGTGCTTCACCCTCTGCAAGCTTAACCACCTGCTGTCCGCAGCAGAGGTTCTCTGTGTGATGCTGCACTGCGTCTGCCACTCCTCGAAGAATGAAGGGGAGGAAAGGGACAGCAAGAGAGAAAGATCTTGAAAAGGAGGAAGGAAAACTAAGGGAATTACAGCCACCAGCAACGGAAAACAATCAGCTAGAGTATGGGGGGGGGGGCGGGGTGGGTGGTGGGAAAGATCATCCTCATCAAAAACTCCTTTCAAAGTCTTGTCCCCTATACAGCAGGCAACAGCCAAAGTCTTTGGGCAGGTTGAGGAAGTCTTCTCTTGCCACGTCTAGAATCCTGACACTGCTGAAACTGTCCCAAACCTGTGCGTGTCAGATGGTGATAAAAATGAGAAAAGTCTCTGCATTTCCCCCATATTTCCAAATGTAAATGACTATTTCCCACCAGCACTTAGGTCCCAGCCACAGCCACAGAGTGCTTCCTTCTGCAGACCAGAAACACGGCAGGTGGAGACTTCTCTCTCACGTCCTCCTGTCTCACAGGCACCAAGCACCAGACCCAGGGAAGTAACTCTGTCTGCGTGTTCCTCATTAATTGCATGATATCAGTTTCTAACAGCTTTCCTTATCACTAATTGCCTTTTCCGTGATTGGTAGGATAATCTATGCACCAACATACAGACACGGAAATGCATTATTTTTACCACAGTTAAAAAAAAACCAAAAAACAAAAACAGAAAAAAAAAAAAAAAGAAGCACAATCTTTGGAACAAAAGAATTAAAGGCAGAAATTTAAAGGAAAAAAAAATACATATTCAAAGAACATAGTGAGGTATAAAAAAGTATTTTCTCCTTTGTTGTTTTTTTTTTTGTCTTGTTTTTGTTTTTCCTCCTCATCTTGCTATAGAGTTCCTCTACTAGTAAATATTGCAATAGCCAGGCCTCATGAACTGGGGGGGCTGTCCCACTTGCAGGGGGCTCACGTCACTTCAGTAGGGGGCAAATCGGCTGTAGCCACCTCGGTATAAACTCGCCTGTAGAAATTAAGTGAGAGAAGAAGAGGTTATTAGGAGGAGAACTGGGAAGAAATACTCAGGACAGCACCCGAAGGACTAATGGATGTGTCCAGGCACTGACCCGCCACCATCAGCACCTCTAAGAAGCAAGAGATGAGAACCCTGCCTGCAAAACCAAAGACGTGGCTCAGGAGGACATGCTCGTGGCCAGCCAGCTGGAGGTGAAGTTTGGCAAGTCTTGGTCAAAGCGAGTTCAGTACCAGAGAGGGGACTCACGAGTCCTTATCCCTGAGACAGCTGTCCAAGCTGTCTTTGTAGACAGCACAGATCAGGACTTCTAGGATGCTTCACCTCACCTTAAAGTCTAAAATAGACATGATGACTGGTATCCTAGAAGTACCTGCTTTCCTTTCACTGACCCTGAAGAGAATCTACATGATGAGCTGATGCTCTAACGGAGGTGCTACACTGCAGCTATCTATATTTAGATGTCTTTTTCTCTGAACACATTTGTATTCCAGCCTTTGCTACACCACAGATACTGCAATGGCTAGCAGATGGGCAGGCATGTGTTTTCAGCAAGCTCCTCCACTCCCCTCCAATGCCAGCATACCTCGCTCCCCTCTTTGTGAGTTACACTGCTGGCAGGCAGGACACTGCATCCCTCCACTAGAGGAAGAGGGAACCAAGTGGAGCAGCTTTGCTGCAAAATGTCATGAGAACAACTCACTCCCTTGCTTCCTAGAACTGATACCTCAACAGCAACACGACCCTTTAAGAAAATGGTGTCTTGAATCTCTAACTATTGCTCATTTTTGTTCTATATTATCACCTTGACAAATTTCTACTGATTCATTAACAATATTCTGGCTCCTGGTATTTCTGGTCTTCTTGGCAGTAGGTGACATGCAAGACCAAGTAATAACTGGTCTCCTACAACCTGGCTCCTTTCCTAGTGCACACACAAAAACATATGAATGAGGAACAACTAAGGACCTCCTCCACCAACAAAAAGGTTTTTCTGGGTGAAGTTTTATTATCTGATAGCCCAAGCTGGAAATGAGAAACAGCACAAGAAACAAAATACCACTTACCACAGCGCCAACTCCGTAGCTAGCGGCAGGGGCAAGGGCATGGTACGGATCTGCTGTGTACACCCTGCCATAACTGAAGAGAGGGAGAAAAGATATATAAAATAAAAAGAAAAAAAGAGAGAGAAAAAAGTCACTTCAGGGGGGCAGAGAAACCAGCTGTCTGACCACAGGCAATGGAGGAAGCTGCATGCCCTTCTACACACATGTATGCATACATGCACACACATGCAGGCAGCCCCTCTTCGAAGAGATCCTATGGGCATGCTGCCATGCATCGTATGAGATGGGCCAGAGAACAGCCTGCAAGGAGGAATGTGGCAGAAGCCATGAGCTCCACCTGTAGGAAAGAGGTCAGCACTTTTGAAATGACAGCCAGTGCATCCCTTACCGCGTGATGCAATTTGGGAGGAGAGGGACTGCTGGTGCTAGCACTACTGGCATGGAAACAGCTGCTAAATGGAAAGCAGTGAGGGGTTCTCCAGAATGAGAAGGGAGTACAAACTTTAATGGTCTCACATGTGGTAGGATTAAAACATGGCCTCGCTGCACAGGAGATACAAAATCTTAAGGCAAGCACTCTGCTGGTGATAATCCTTTGTATCTATACAGAGCAGCACGTTACAGCATCCTGAATCAGCTGAATATTACTTCACAGATTGGGAGAGAAATGCACCCAGTGATTTAAACAACCTGCCCAGAGTCACAGAGCAAGGAGCTGGCAAGGCAAGCCAGATCTTTTGACTCTGAGGCTACAACCACACTGCCTCCTTTGTGCAGAGAATCATAAGGATAGGGAAGAGGCCAGGATTTGTGCCAGCTCACATACACCGGAGGGCAATACTACCCGGGAGCAGAGAGACAAACCGTGCATTCAAGTCTTTCATGTTGGGTTGTGCATGCATGTGTGCGAGTGCAAGTAAGACAAAGAAACAGGGAAAGAAGTGGAAGTGCTGTAATGGATCAATGCTCCTTGATTCCCTGAGCACAGCAAGCTATTCCCCGTGGACACCTCCCCCTTACATACCCATCGCTGTAAGCTGCTGCAGCGGCTGCAGCGGCTGTGGCTGCTGTTGCAGTAGCAGGCTGTGCATATCTGTAGGCTGCGTATCCACCCTGCAGGAGAGAAGAGAACTGACTTTACAGATACCTGTCCACCCACACAGAGCGTAAAAAATAAAATGAAATAAAAAGTCACACACATCACAAGGAGAGGAAGTGTTTCAAACTGCATCAGCTCCCATGTCAAGCCTATCGCAAGCATCACCCATTAACTCATGTATGTTCCTTTCCTCAGAAGGACTGGGGAGACTCTTCTATTACCCCATTTAGCAGAAGGAATAAACTAAAAGCAAGTCCAAGCATGGTTATATCCCTGCAGGAAATTAAATTTGGCATGGAGGAACTGAAAACCAGAAGAGAGCTGAAATCTTGCATGCAACATCATTTTTTATGTCCCCTTCCTCTTATGCTGGTGAAACCAGAGGCAGGTACTTTCTGTGAATGTGTATTTTAGAAGGAGACCATTCAGAGAATTTCCTGTTCTTTTCCTTCTATCTCCTTTCTTAAGCCTCAGAAACACAAAAGGCCAGAAGTTCATTTGGTCCAGATGCGTGAAAGTATCAAAGGCACAGAAACCAAAAAGCAATCAGGAAAAGACAGAGAAGACAGTCTCAGGGCTGGCAACAAGCAAACTGACAGTGATACCAACCAGACCATTCTACCCTCCCTCCATGTAAGGAGGAAACAGGTCAGGGGAAATTATGCCAGAACAGTCTGTATTGCTGCTGCATGGGGAGAAACCCATGCTACACACCTGTAAAGGTCTTCAAAATGCCACTAACAGGGGCAAAGGCTGCATGGCAGATAGCAAAGTGGCAAAGAGGGCTCTGAAGCCCAGGTTAGATTTTTCCTCATTGTGCACTTCTAAGCACGTTTTTGTTAAGGGGGGGGGGGGGACACGGACGACGACGACGGGGAAGGATACGACGGGGATGGTAAATGAACCGTGGCTCTGATTTGCTAGAAATACAATGAGCCATAAATAACAACAGAAAATTCCAGATTGCTTCTGGCTTTTTTTTCTCCAATTGACATTTCAGAGTCCGAAGGACCAGAAGGCAGACTTACGCTCTTCACATCCAGAATCAGCTCAACATGCCTCTACCACTTTTTCCCTACAGACCTTTCGCATATAAGTAACTAAGAGTGCAAGATCAGGTCTATTACAGGACAATGCGTTTGTTCAGCAGTGCTCAGTTTTGGGCTAGAGAGCTTTGAAATTAGAAGTAATGATTTTAATTTAATTTTGGTTGCTTTTGTGGGTCCTGTGTTGGCCCCACGAAGACTAACATGCTATCCAAAATATGGCTGGGCAGCCTTTCCTGTGCCAGAGGATTGTGACTTATAGCCTTTTCAATCTTGTAGTTAACAGAAGAAAAGAGCTACACAAATCTACACCTCTGAAACATCACCATGTTGCCCGAAAGAGATGTCATATTGCCCTTTTAATCTCATCCTGCTGTTTCAATCCTGCATTTCAGAGTATTGGTTTGCGGAAGTTTAGCTTGGTACAGGTGTGCTATTACTGCACCACCATTACTGCCACCTCCAAAACATGACGGAGATGAGAGGAATTGAGGTGCAGCCTTAATCCAGATCAAACCTTCATCAACCTCACCAAGTCAAGACACAATTTCATACTGATGTCACTGTGGTAATCCTTGAAGCTTAGCAGCTCCCTGAGCTCCTGATGGGGTCTGCTGTCACTTGGGCATGATGTACCAGGCAATTCTACCTGGCGCTACCCTCCTGCAGGGTGGCTGGGATTCAGTGTGCACCCGGATTCCCACCCTGCCCCACAGTTGCCAGCCACATTCCGGATCAGAAGCCGTTTCAAATGTGCCTGGCCCATACTCTGAACATGAGAGCAAGATGCAGCTTGAAACCAAAAAGGGTTATCATGTAATTCTCTTTTAACTCATGTCTCTCATAAAGGAAAACGAAATCAAACCAAACCAAAACAAAAAGAAAAGAAGAAAAAGAAAAGAAGGGTTGGAATCAGGTGTGGGAGGGGGAATGGCGTAACATTTATTAATCAAAATTAAAAACTAAGCATGCTGACATCTGGAGCTAGAACAACCAGCAAAGTCACCACGTTCAGACTCATATTGGCTAGTTCTATCCATCCCAGCATTCTCTTGGGACAGCAGTTCGCCCTAGGCTCTACCACAAGCTCAGTGAAGTACACAGCCTCAAGTACTAGAGCGTGCAGCCACAACAACCTGCTATTACGGAAACAGTCAGTCACCACTGGAGTTAACATTCCAACCTTAATGACTCCCGAAGCCTCCCACCCTCACCCCCCAGAATGGCTCCCACCCTAGCCCTGTCCCACACCACAATGTTAATAATTATAACAAGCAATAACCCATCTGTTATATCAGAGAAGGGAACAGAGACTCCACTGAGAGATTTAGAGCGGGATGTTAACATTTCTTCAGTCAACTGCACAACAAAAAAAACAGGAGAAATAATTCATTGGAGAAATGAAGTTAAGGAATAGCTGACATGTGTATTGCTTTTAAACCATGCACTGATGCAAAACTGAAGCTACTGTTAATTCAAAACCAAAGTAAATTAAAATCACAGGGTAGAGGTACACACGCATGGGCAGACCTGCTCCGTTCAAAGTGGTCTGCAAATTCTACTTGTGCGTACTTCAAATAAACCAAAAATGGGGATTATAATGGCCATGGTACGTTCCTGTCATAGGAGCAATGAGCGTGGACAGCTGGGGGATTTCTGGCACGCGGATGTATTTAGCATGACCAGCAGGTCCAAATACACCAAAACAGGCTGAAGGAGGGAGGAGGAAAGTTGCGACTGTAACTTGTTATTTCGTAAACCCTTCCACCGAGCTCTGGAACCAGTATACAGCAAACGAGTCACTGTGCTGGTTGCCTTACCCAGCTGATGCTCCCATTCTCCATAACCCAGGACCCACCTATAATTCCACCAATGTGTCTAAAGCCTTGCCCAGTGCACCAGTTATTTTCTCCTGTTATTCCTGTTCACACACAACTCTAACTGGTATGCAGAGCTCATCTGTAACCTCACCTACCTACCACCTCTAATGATTTCTGATGCCACTCACTTTGGGTACTCTATTAAACATAAACTGTAACAGAGTAGAACATCTTCAGCAAACATGTGTTTCCCAACAAAAGAAGAACATTTTTCAAAGTTCTTTGCTAGCTGCACCACACTTCTCCAGTGCTACAACCCAACTGCAACAGAAGACACCATTAAGTGGCATGGTCCCTGAAACCCAGCACAGCCATGCAAACTCCCACTCCATCTATTTAAGTGAAGTGATTCCATGGGGACAGGTTTACCTGTCTAGGTTCAGTTTTTGAAATCTTCAGCCTAATCTTAAAAGAAGTAAGTGTGGCTGAGCTTCTCCTGAAGATGTTATGTCAGAGACACTCCTATCAAAGCGATAGTTTAATCACTGCCTTGACAAGGAAATAGGGGAACTAAGGAAACAGCATATGCATTTTTACTGGGCAGTAAGTAACAACCAAAAGGACTTTCTAAATCGAGATCAGTCCTTTCCGGTACAGTCTTTTGGATTGCCTGGGGAGGACATAAGAAAGTCAAACACAACCCTAATGTTGCTTATCTTAACTCAAGTTCTCTTTCTCTGGATAACCTGCCTGCTAAACCCCTTTCCTCATGTCCATGTGTAGCACTTGAGCCTGTAGATCTCAAGTGTCAAAAAATGGTACTTGCTCACATATCCACTAAAGCCCAAATTTACTATGACTCTTGTGATGTTATCGTCCTTGGCTCATCAGCAAAGTGAGAAAACGTTTTTTAAATTCCTTCTTTACCATTAGATGATAGCTGTCTCAATCTTGTCATATATTCTCTGAAATAACACAAACACTGCAAAACAACACATACAGGAAGCTGCAATCCCAACTAAAGCAGCATTCCAATTACTGAGCATGTTAATGGAAATAAATGGGCACTTTATAAGGTTAAGCTCAAAGTAAACCCATCTTCTTTTCCACTCTTCAGGTCCATATTAGGGGATCAATCCAACGAGAACATGATGAAATCCAAAACTACATCTTACTATATTGGTGTACCCTATGGTATAAGCTTCCCTTTTCTTTTTCCCTTGCTGCCTTAGATGGGTGCACGAAGTGTGTTGCTGGCCTTCTTTACTCCAAAGAGCCTTTATGCACTAAGACACAATCATTCTCATATCCCTGGAGAAATGAGTACCAATTACATACATCTGACCACCTGCCAGGTTTAGGCAGTGAGCCCAATTTTCAGATCTTTTTGATGTTGTATCTCAAATGCCCTATAATAGAAGTGAAGAAGCAGAAAGGGCTAGAACCGTTTCCAGTATTTCTGTATTAGAAGGGTGGCATATGTGCACCAGGAATGAGCATGAATGAATTAAAAGAGGTGACAGGACAACGGTGTCCACTGCAGCAGGTGCTTCTACATGGTAATGGGACAAGCATGACCTTGTTAACCCTTCCACTGAATTTACTTTTTTTGTTTTTTTGAATGAAATGCCACTTGGTGTGAAATCTGGACACACGCCGCCCTGCTACAGCGGGGGCTTGGCTCACACGTGAGTCTGCGCTGCCCTATAAAAAGCCTCTGTTCCCATCTCTAATGTGGTGCTGGAATGGTTAGTATAATTCAGTTTTTTCCACTGCAATCCACAATCTGATCGGTTGGCAGGTCACACTGGCACTCCTACCTGAGGTATTTTAGCGCTAATGATTGGTTCCTGTAAGACTATTCTATAACAGAACACAGGAAGAGCAGTTCAAAAAAACACAGCTGTGGAAAGAAACAATCATACAAACAGCCCGCAGCGGGGCTCACCAGCCTTTTCTTTCCAGTGGATGCAAGCACGCTTTTCACAGGCAAGAGCAGTCGTCGCACAGGTGGGTTTGTTTGGGTTTCCCCCCCGCCGCCCAGATTGACCCCATTGTAGAAGAAGTAACTTTTCTTATGAGCCGAAATGAAGCCCTCTGCATCCTGGGGCAGGTTGTTTTATGCATTCAGGTGTCTTGCCAGAGTGAGATGCATCCAACAACAGATGGAATGCCTTCTTCAACAGAAGAAATGGCTAGCAGGATGGTTGCCCCAGGAAAGAAAAAGGAGTGAGGAAGAGGAGGAGGAGGAAAACGAGAAATCTGTGCACAACACGTATGCAGAAAAGCGGCCCAAACTTGGGACACTTCCCTTCACCTTATCTACCATTAACCTCTCCCTGTCAGCTCAGCTCCTTTCCGCCCTTCCTTGACACAACCCTACAGACTCAAAAGACCTGAGGGAACCTCAATTTTACTTTACCGCCCCTGGAGTCCTAACTGAAGTACCCTCTGCCATCCCTTCCACAATCTGGACAAGCCTTTCAGAGCAACTAAAGGGGCAGAAGCACTGCAGTGAGAAGCATGACAAGTCAGTGTGGCACAGCAATGCTGTCATCTTTCTACCCGTGCCAAGCAAATTGTCTGGAAGGGTAAATTCATGTCTGGATTATGGCAACTTTTTCCTCAGCTTCATCAGTGAGCTCTGGGCACCAATAACATAAGGAAAAACACCACCATCTACCTTGATGAGTCCCCTTTGCTATCATCCTGCTTTCTGGCAGTGAGACCAGAGTCAATACATCAAAGTTGTCAGATGTCAACCTAATGGTTCCAACTGGACTTGGGAGCTTGGTTTCGTGTTATGTGATGCTACTGTACTGCAGCACCAAGTGGTTACCGGGAGTCTTCATTAATGAAGTCTCTGTCCTTAAAACATGTTAAATAAGCCTCTCCTCATCTGCCATGGAAGCTCTGAAGGAGCTTTCTCAAAAGAAATAGGAAACAAGCCTGGCCAGTCCTCCCTTTCAACGTGACAGCCTCTTATATGCCATACTCTGAAAGAAGAGGCACTAAGCATTGCTCATTTGCTTGCTTACTTGCTGTAGCAAAGTCAGTGGTCTGTAAAGCTGGTGTTTTAGCAGTGAAATGGGAAAACCCAGAACACTCTGTAGTCCTTGACACAGTTTTATAAAGGAACACTTGACTGGGCAGATCAATTTTTAAAGGACTGCACACATGATAGTATATGTAAGAATGAAGAAATGGACCCAGTATTGCTATGCTCAGAGCGCATGTCTTCCAACTGCTGTAACTGTGTTGGGAAAAGCACTTTACAAGACCTGACCCTCCATATAAGCCAACAAAATCCAAGAGCTAATTCCATCCATTATCTTGAGTCTAACCCCAGGGTCCTCTCTATGAATGTCAGAAGTAGCACCTTCAAAGGACTAGGGATGTGAAATCCATGCTGACAACTGTGCCACTACCTGCTACAGAACTGCCCCCAGCTCCAAAGAGTTATTACATATGATACCACAAAAGGCAACTCTGCTAGAACTAGGCAGTCCACAAGCTGCAATGGCAGTAGTGGACCTCAACACTTTCATCTTTGAAAGGCATATTCCTACCTTAACTGCTCTGCAACTGCTCTCCATGGGAGAGGAAACCGCTTTTCTCAGTGGCCTGCCAGAACCCCTCCCATCCATGACCCACCTATGTATACACAGATGCCCTGGAGACTTCCAATACAGACTGGCTGGACAAAGATAATGACAGGACAAACTCTCCTATGGTATCAGAGCTAATTCCCAGACAGGAGGAGGCTGCTGATTCTTCTAACTGAACATCTCCACTATTTGTACTTCACAATTCCCCAAAGAGGCGAGAGAATCTAGCCTATTTAGGTACCATTTCCACCAGCAAAATGAGATGTCAGTTTTCACTCCAGCATCTTGGTCTCCATTTTTAATCAGTCCCTGTGTCTTCCCCAAAGGGATAATCTCTACACCCCAGTGGCACACAAGCATTTTTAAACATACAGCTTGCTCAGTTTAGTGTGGGCTGCACAGATCAAACCTGAAAGGGTCCCAAGAGGGGAGAGAAAGGGGAGGGCAGAAGGGGGAGAAGGAAAGGGAAGGTCTGAGGCTAAACCAGTCCTGATATTTTTATATCCAAATTATGTCAACAAAAGAAGTGTTGAGAGAAATTTGAATTCGCTAATCATCTCTCAGGTTGATTAGTACCAGTGTGCATGTGAGGGACAGGACACCCAGTAGACTGACCCTGGCAATGATCAGGAAACCCAAAGGCTTAGGTCTTGCACCCAGGGGCAAGCGCAGTGACAGAGAAGCATGCTTGCATTCCTAAATATATAAATATATATATCCACAAGGAAGAAGAAAATTAAAGTAAATGATATTTAAAAAAAAAAGACAAACCAAACCAAACCAACAAACCAAAAGAAAAGAAAAAAAAAAAACCAAAAAAAAAAAAAAGGCTGGCTTGTCAGGGGTTGGGGACAAGAAGGCTCCGGTGTGTGTACTTACATAGAGGTCAGCACCGTAAAATCCGTCCTGGTAAACCACACTGCAGAAAATCCACACAAAAACAAAAAAACAAAAAACAAAAAACAAAAGAACAGAAAACACATTCCGGTTATTGAGGACGGCAGCATGCACATGCGTTTTACACAGGCAGGTGATGTATGAATCCACAACCTAGGCTTTTGGCAGGAGCAAATCAGCGAGAGAATGTGTGTGCGCACGCACGTAGACGGCTCCAAGTCATCTTCCATGGCATGCAAAAGGGGGAAGGGGCGGGCAGAGGGGGGAGACAGTATGCAAAGGAGAGAGGGAGGGGAACCACCATCTTGTATGGTAAAAATAGACCGAAAAAGATCTGATGTCCTGAAGAAGAGAAACAAGGGTTTAGAAACCTCCACTCTGCTTATTCTCCTGGAATGATTTTAATTACCCCCTAAATACATGGAAACGCTGGCTTCATGAAATGGGCTTGTGAAATCGAGGAGCCCCTCGGAAGGCCTCCCACAGGGGCTGGAGTCACCTACGTCAGAAGCACTCTTCAGAGAGTTGGGTATGATTATGTATTTTGAGCTCCACGGGGCTGCATGACTTTTGTTTCTGACATCCATACATCACCTGCTTTTACCCTGCACATTAGACATGCGATAAGATCTGGCTGATCACACAAGCATGCAAAGTATTATTATTCAGCATCTTAAGGAACTGATGCAACACCTCAGGAAAACAAGTCAATCAATTCTGATCAAAGTAAACACAGAGAAATGTAATTAAAAAGAAAAAACCAAAAATACCCACAATGCATTGCTTTCACAAGCAGAGATAATGAGCTAAAAAGGTTAGGTGACTGGTCCAAGGTCCAAGAATTGAAAGGTGCAGTGGGAATCCCTGGTAGTAACAACCTATTCCATAGCAGAGAGGAGCAACTGGAAGGGTTTCCATGGGACAGTGCTTTTTCTGCTTTAAGCCATAGTTTTCTTTCTCTCAGAACTTCAAGCAGGAAGACGGTTAAACCAGAGCCTGGGGTTCCCAAAGAGCCACTCTTACCAGAGCATTCGCTAGCGTAAGACTATGCAGCTTGCTTTGGGGACAGGGGTCGGGGAAGGATGAGGAAGGAAGAGAGGGGATGCCCCCCACCCATGTGCTTTTCAGCGTGTGCTTCATACTAAGGAATTTCCTCCTGCTTTGTCCTCTGAATAGCTCCGCACAAACTTGCTCAAGGCTTTAGAAAGCATTAGCCCCACCATCTGTGATGTTCATGGATCTGATGTGCATGACTTACCAGTAGCATTAAAGAAAAAGAAGGTATGGAAAACTACCTTTCCTTTTGATTATCATTTCTGACTCATCAGATGGAATGTGAAAAGCTGCCAAGAGCCTGCCACCCTCAGACACCCACCTATTGTAAGGCACGCACACACAAAAAAAGCCCAGCAGATCTTGCCAAAATTCTGCATGCTATTACTAAAAAGTAAAATAAAATTAAAAGAAAATCTGTTGCAGTGTTAGCTACTGCTTGAATAATTTAGTTTTGCTGTCTTCCCCAGGAAAAGTACAATCCATTCCCAATGGACAAAGTTACTATGGTCTCCAAGAGCGCTGGGAGCAGGTGTGAAGATAGAGACCCTTGTTAGAGGAAGAGGGGAGCCACTTCAGCAGGGAGAAGCAGGCCATAAGATCATGTTTGTTGAAGCTAAGTTTTTACAACCACATAACAAAGAATTTGGCTCCTGGGGCAGTGACTTACATTGCTGGGTTCTCTATCTAGGACCAGGAGTGTTTTAGCAGTGATACTCCACCTGCTCCTGCAGGAAAGGCAAACGCATGACAGAGGAAGTGACTGTTGGTTTATGAACAGGTTAGCAGTTTTAACAGTTATTCTGAACACAATCAGTTGGATGAATATAAGCATTACCACATTGGATCAGGCCACTATTCCTGTAACTCAGAATACTGTCAACAAGAGATGCTAGCATCAGTTCTCCAGAGAAAACTGCACAGAACACTAGTAACAGGTAAGACTTCCTGGGTTCAAACCACCAAGCAGATGTGCATCCTCCATCTCTCCTTCAGTTAGGACTTGACTGCCACAGCTAAAATTTAGTGAGGTTTATTTATATGCCAGAATATCCGTATCTGTGATTCTTAATGCTAGCAAAAACTGAGAGAATTCCTTAATTTGAGAACCACAGAGACCATTCTGGTTATGTAGACTGACCAGAAGCATGAAGAAGCCCAACAGCTTATCAAATCTTAGTGGCATCTGCAGAAAGCCCACTGGCTGAGCTAAAATACATCCATGATAAAAAGAAATATGCTGTTTGTAAAGCAGCCATATCACTTAGGTGTAACAACAATTGACTGTGTTGTAAAAGGAACCAAAATCCACTCCAAACCCGCAAAGCTCCCTATTGCCTTATAGCTAATCTGATTTTTATCTACTTTTAACTTCAAGTCAGTGAATCCTCTACATATTTACACTCCAAGACTAAAATGTTCTTTACTATGGCAAGCCTACTCCTCATATAGATACTTAATGACCATGAACAAGTCAACACCTAACCTATAGTTTGAGAAATAAAAATGATCAATGTTCTTTAGTTTTGAGAGTTTTACAGTAGGCAACTCAACTTTTTTTTTTCCAGACTGACTGAATTCTTACAGCTTTTGGTCTCAAGTGTAATATGTCAGCATCCTTGTTTAGAAAGCATGGCTGCTACAAATCAGGGCAATATTCCAGTAAAGGTTTTACTCACGGTATATATCAGAGGTTATAGTGTTTCCTTATGGCTACTGAATGCTGCCTCTGTAGTAAACTGAAGGTTGCATTTGTATTCTGAGGTCAGACCCACGTGACTACCTAACATCGTCTCCAACAGTCTGAACAATTGCTTTTTAAGTTATGAATAGCCTTCTCTGGATAAACAGCCATGTCCATAGGTAAGTATGTACATTCCACATACGCATTATTAAACCTTACTTCGAGTTCTTGAAATAAATGTTAAAACTATTAAGAACAACATCATTTCTTGCACCTTCCTCTGGGGTATCTAGCACTAGACACTGTCAAAACTTACTCTAACCTGAATGACCCTCAGGTCTGATCCAGTATGGCAATTCAATGAGCTTTTATTAATCTACATTCTGTATTTTTTTAATTCTGTTAAGCTCTCAAATGCAGTGATACCTTTAAGTTTTGTAACTTAAACACCGCTAAGGTTTGTGAAAACCAGTTCCTCCTACCAGGTTTGAGTTAATCTGCAGCTTACCTTACTGTTGTTTTCCAAATGACTCACTACATCTTAACTCATGTGTTGCTGACTGATCTTAGGGTGTTGTCTTTCCACTGGCTAGGAAGAAAGCAACTGATGCAGGGTAAAGTGTCAGGAATGTGTGCCTGCCCCTAACTCCATGGAGGTCAGCAGAACCCACATGGAGCAGCAGCTGTCCTACAGGTTACTGCAACATGGAACTGCAGGGCACATTTTGTGTATTCCACAAGGAATTGAATTCCTTCAACAAAATATCTGGCAGAGATTCAGACTATGATGACAACAAGCATGAGAATTAGTTAATTACATCCCAATGCTTGGAACTAGGGACAGTCCTGGGCCGTTTGCACACCTGCCTTGTTTACTGCTGCCCTGTAAATGTTTACTAGGTAACACGCTGCACACCAAGATGTGGTATCAGTCAGCAGGGTCAGACAAACTCAACATAACGTAAGTAAATGCAGTCATGAGACAGTATTTGGAAGGGATAATCACTGGAGTCTGGCCCATATTCCAAACAGAAATAAACCTTTTATACAGGACTCAGGCCGGACAGCCCAGAGTCCCTCCCAGTGTGCCACTCGTGACAGTCTCTTGCTAGGAATGCTCCAGCCGTTACTCCGAGGGATGAAGAGCACATCCTCCCTCCCCAGTGCAACTATTTCATATTCTGCCAGACGGCAGCACTCAGCTCAGCTTTGCATCTCTGTTTCACTGTGGAGCACTTCCTAATAACAACGGACTGGGTCACGTTTATAGCAACAGACAAGCTGCAGGTCAGAGGCTGTGGTTAGAGGATATAGAGCATGACCTAGGAGCGGTGGCAAAGAGAGGTGGATCTGAAAACCCAGAAGAAACACTGTTCGGAAAGCCAGTGGGTCCAGACAAGAGCTTTTATTTAAAGTCTTCTGGTGAATTAAACATTGCCAGAGTTGCTGGAGAGCAAAGCTAGACAGATACATGACCACTGCAGCTTGCCTCCTTGAGCTCTACTTTAAATATGAGACTGGACTCTGAAAAAGAAGGGCCAAGAGTAGCTCTCACCACTCAATCTGCTAGAGAAGGTTCTGCAAGCTTATCCAGCATATATGAGGCCAGCTCCTTGCACTGATGTGTATGTATTCCAACTCCTTTTTTAATAAGGGGTTTGCAATTTATTTTCTTCCCTTTTGGGGCTAGTTTAAAGGAAAAAAGGGCCAGTCCATTTCTTTGTGTTGGAGGATTCATTCCTACTTCTATTCTTTCTGAGAAAGTTGCCTGGAAAATATGGCAAGTAAAATCCCAGAGACAGGCAATATGAATAAAGCATCCTCAAAATCAGAAACAAAATAAGAGAGTTTGAAAGGGATTTGCTGATTTATTTGTTACATCACACTTAAACAGAAACCCAACCCAAAACTCATACACAAACCTAGTTCCCTGTACTTTTAAACAGCAGAATACTCTTTTGTAACAGCATCTATTCCACTGCATTACTACTGAAAAGTCAGAGGGCAAAGAATCTAAGGCCACGCATCCACCATTGCTTCAAATAATAGTCGGAAGAACACTGCACTTTTGTTCTCCCTGTATCCCCAAAATTCCCAGATTTAAATTAATGGACTTGATTAATCTTTGTTTTAAACCTTTTTAAACCGTCTCCAACAAAGAAAGCAAATCCATTGTGGGTAACTGGCTCTTCTGTGTCCTACTGCCAGATGGTGAGGCATGATGGTAATGGATAATATTCCTCATTCCTGGATATGAAAATGCAAATGGAATGCAAAGAGCAGAACCTTTTCAGAAATTTTAGACCTTCTCTCTTTGTGTCCTTCTCAGCAGCACTATAACTACTGGGTCAATGGATGACAAACACCACACAGAAAAATTGAGGAATTATGAGAAGGAATCCATCAGCACTTTAAGCTGTTACAAGTACTGAAAATTGTTTCAGTCACAAACTTAACAGAGATAAATTTAGATTTGACCCCAGTGGATGCCATCATGTGCAGAATGCTCTGGCACTAGCAATATCCTGACTCTCACCATCCAGACAATTTTAGTTATTTTATGGTTAAACCGATTAGCTATTTGACACGGTTGTGCAGAGCACTCTGCTCTTGTGACTAAGTGCTTACCCTGGGTAGGCAGGGATGGCTGTGGGAGGTACCGCCCGGACTGCCCCATACACTGTCCTTCCTCGGCCCCTCAGGTGGGCTCCCCGAAATGCGGCTGCTGTGGTGGCTGCAGTTGGATAGGGGAAGCCTGGAACTGGAAAGACAGACAAGGTGGAGGTGAAAAGGATCCGAGCTCCCTCCCAGAAGACAATCGTCTGCTTCAAACAGAGTGACACAATAGCTCCACAGCAGTGGGACATTTTGCATCAGTCCTGCAGAGGGGCATGCTTATAACCCAGCAAGCATCCGATACGTACTTCCTGCTACACCATGGCCTTTGGGGAAAGAGGGGTTGCAGAGAGGTTTGGCATGCAAGAGGTTAATGCTTTGGCATGCCTCGCCCACCACAAACAGGGTATGAATCCCCCCACCTTTTGACACCGCCATGCAGTCTCGGTTAGAGTCTGAGAAGCGCAGAGAGTTACTATCAATATAGCAGGCGGCTCTTCCAAAACTGCAGAGGCTGTTTTAAAGTAATTTGTCAAGAGGCCCTTAAAGTCAACCAACTTACATCAGTCTCTTCCCTCCTTTCCCCTCCCACTCTTTGCCACCCAATCCTCTGTATGTTCATTTTAAAGCCTGAAAGACAAGATAGCCCATATAACAGCAGCAGAAATTTCCCAAAAAGTGCCAGTTTACTGAGAGCTCACCTTCATCTAACAAGCATGACCAGTAGCTGGCTCTGTTTTATTACGCTTTACACTGGAATAAACTGGCTTGTGACGAAATGATGTAAAACCTCAGAGGCATCTGCAAACACGTAATAAACAGATACCAAGAGGGAAGGAGTCCCAGGACGCAAACCCAACCCAACGTGCGTCCAGGTGCATGCCACCAGGGGCCCTGCAGACTCGCGATTTAGCAGCTTGTATAATATGTACTTTAGGGATTTTGTCCGTTTGGTTTCTTTGAATTCAAAAAGGGGGAGGAGAGCAAGGGAATGGCTGATTCCTCACACATCCCTTCCCCTTGTTCTGCAGCCTCCTCATCACTCAGAGAGACCGACTCGCCAGTAAAGAAACACACTGCAGATGAACAAGTTACAGCAAAGTATACTCTGGCTCATGGTAAACCCATTCCCAGGGTGACCCATCCTTTCAAGTATATATTATACAGACTGGAGAAAAGAAGGGTAACAGGTCATTGTTAACTCAAGCACAGTAACAATACAGGGGCCAATGGGGGCTACTTACTGATTAAAGGAATGTAAGTGTTAATACCCCCCCTTCCTGACAGGGGCACTGCGGCGTCATTGCCCAGCGAGACATCTGCTTGAAAGCTGGACGCTGATTTGATTTTAAAAAGAAGAAAAAAAAAGAAACAAAAAGAAAAAAAAAAAAGAAACAACAACAAAACGTAAAAAAGGTTATAAAGAAACAGCAGCTTGAGAACATAAACAAACACCACTGCAGTCAAATGGCAGAAGTGGAAGCATCTACTTAAGCTCTACCTGCATATAACTCAGGGCCGTACACCGCTCCAACCACAGGACTCAACTTCCAACCTGAAACAACAAAGACTGCAGTGAATGCCAAAATCTACACCAAGAGAAGGAGCGGGCAGCGTGGGTAGGGGGAACGGTCTCTTGCATGCGCCCCAGCTTCACATGCACAGCTCTTTCCAATTTCTGCTTCGCCTCAATCCCCCTTGGTGTAGATGGAGGCCAACTGCCTTTTTCTAATGTCAAGTTCTAGGTACAGGTCGCTGTATCGGAGGGAACAGCAAAACATCAGCTGATCCGCAGCACAGCAGAGGCTCCGCTGAGGGAATGCCAACTACCTTATATGCATATTTGCCACGAGCACTATGCGACCCTGCGTTCCCTGCATGAACCTTGCTGCCAGCTCCTCTCTGCTTCCACCAGGCACACTGTGAGTCCAAAACCTCTCTAAAGCCACCAGGCCAGACTGTCTTCCTGGGCAAGTCAAGTTACAGCCTGAAACTCTCAAAACACCTTTCTGTCTTAATTTGCTAGGGACCTGCTAAAACCCAACACTGTCTGAATTTCCTCATTAACTGAATTACGTGACTACAGTGCAGAAAAGCAATTCAGTCTCTTCATCTCACATTTTCTCCTGTCTCTTATTTTAGCATTTCCTGTCTTCTTTAAGTTGCTTTTTCAGGTGAAAGCCTTCCCAGAGAATTGATTTTAGTATCATCTGGGTAATTGGCAAGAACTGCAAGTCATCAACATAAAACCTACAAGAGAATAGTTCTTAAAGAAGTCATCACTGGGGCATAAAGAGGAATACATTTCCAGTCAGCTGTGGAAAGCTATATGTCCCGCTGCTATCACCTTTCTACTAGGGGAGAGAAGGGATCTAAAGCCAACAACATGATTTGCTTCCATAAAGCATTCCTTTCAGGAAAGACTTCAGCTGTTTAGCTACCAATCATACAGGTATTTTTATTTAAATAAATCCATACCCTTCCTCTGTCTCTGAGTCCTGATGCACCTAACTGCACTTAAACACCTCTAACCAGCCTACAAACCATATGAACAACATTGCAAACTAAAGCCCATCAACACCACCCCTCGATCTCCTGGCTCGATGGCAAAATACTAAAATGAGCAGTGACAATGAAAAAACTGGGATCTACCCTCATGTTTACTAACAGTCGTACAACCACTAGTCAGTATGCCTTAAGCCTTGTCTAATACTGAATACTAATAACTTTAAAGCTGGCTTTAAACTGCAGGTTGCAAAAGCAAAATATGCCTGCCCATTATCAGGGTTTCACAAGTAAACCAAGTTATTTTACCAGTCATACATATTTTCAGGGCAACATAAAATGGCTGACTAGCATTTTGCTTCAAAATCTCCTGGTTCCTTTCAGACACTGAGACTCAGAATCCCAGACTTTCTGCCTGGTCCTGTTCCCCCATTTCTGTAACCAAAATAAGATTTATCTGCTAAGAGCCACACAACAAGTCAGTAGCAGAGCCACAGATAAAACTAATATCCTCCGACTTCAGAGTCTTACGTTGTAATCATAACCGACTCCTCCACTAGCAACTACCTATATGCAGCTTCCTGCCTTGTTGAAGCCATTTGGGAACATTTTCAGAACATGAAGAACTCTTCTGGCTGTTTCAGGACAAAGACTTAGATTCAAAATCTTTATCAAGGCAACATCCATGTTCTGTTGGGAGAATGACTTTTTATGCTATATATGCCCATGCAATAAAATTACTGCACAGACAGAACCATTAAGATATCCTGATGAAACAGGACTCTTCACTACCCAAGCAACTCGGTCTTTCTCTATTCAGGCTCACTGGAAAATGGCTGAACATAGGCAGAGTGTGTGACAAAAGGGAGCGAACAAAGCAGGGCAATGCCTCTGTTTTCCCGGTTGCTTGGGGGCAGCTGTACTTTTACAGCTAGAACCTAAACTGAGATACATCTAATTACGTATCTTAGTTATGCTTCTGCATTCATATTTAGGTATCAACGTGATGGCAAGGAGACTCAGGAGTACTGCACATCCCACTGTCCAGCATCAGCCTGCAGCAGTGGCAGACAACCCGTTGGTCTTTGGCTTCTTCACCGAGCTTGGTCACGTTGAGTGAGTCACTACTGCTCTGTGTCCCCACTTCTCCACCTATAAAATGGTACTTCTCCATAAATGCTTAAGGGTTACACTGAAGAATAATGCTAGAAATTAGGATTTGTGGGGTTTTGTTGGTTTCTTTTGGGTTTGGGTTCTTTTGGTCCTGAGGAGAGGTCATGACTTTTCCCTTTGTCTTTTTTCCAACCTTTCAGCTCATCATTAGTACAAACAGTTTCTCTTACCATTTGCATATGGTGTGACCATCTTCTTATTGGTCATCACTCGTGCAGTGGCATTGTTAACCTAAAAGTAAGAAAGGGGAGGGGGGGAGAGGGAAGGAAGTATAGGGCATTAGGGAAAATGATGGAAAACTCTCCAGATACCACACACAAACACTATATTTCTCCGAGCAAAAAAAAATTTAAACAACTAATTTTAGAAAAATGCAATCTTTCAATTACTTTTAACAGTTGCCATTTAATGATAAAAGTTACAGCTAAACATGGCACTTTAAAATTATGCATTAAACACAAGGCCAGTGAGAGTAAAGTGCAGATTCTCCATCACCCTGCCACCCCTTGGCACATGGTTTTTTCAGCTCATTGATTGAAAGGGTAAAACTTTGGAGGTTTTGTCCAAGTTCTGTTCAAGAGGCAACAATAATCTCTGCAGCCCAGTGCAGGGGAACTGAACCAGGCGATGCACTAACCAAATTGTTTCTCAAGCTCACCATTTGGATTGGGTCCCAGCAGGTTGCTGGCCCATATACTTTTCAGATAGAAAAGGTAACCTGGAGTCCATCAGCTTTAGATTTGACCTTCCAAGGCTTGAGGAGATTTCTGGAATGCTAGCAACTGTTTGAATGGCCCGTGTTCATTGATTTCCTCCTCCTCATTTTCCAGTCTTTTCCCAGGTTATTTTTTCCTTGTCACAAATCTCATGGAACAAAAGAAGAAATACATAGCACCAAACCTGGGTCTTTTTGGGTTTTATTGTACCCTCCACCCTCTTTACAGAGCTCTGCATAGTTCCAAGCAGTTTGATTGCTCAAGCAAGTGAGGTGTTACCACAGAGATGGCGCTGATAAAGAAAAGATGGACCAGTTTGGAAGCCAAGTTACTGCAGCCCCATGTCAGACAGCCTCAAAGTTCTTGCAAGGAGGGTGAAGTCCTTCTACAACATCCGTAACTTATCAAAACCCATGCCAAATGGGAATTGAGGCCAGCGTGAAGAAGGAATAAAAAGAAGGGCTACAAAAACAAAAGCTGCCTCGGGCCCTTGAGACTTATGGATGGTGAGCGTATGCAGGGTGGGGAGTCTGGAGCTACATTTTACTCTCATTTCAGCCCCAAAACAATAGAAACATTACACACTTAAAAAGAAAGAATGGGAAACAACAATGATGAGACTGAGAGCATGCAGTTAAACACACACAGATAAAAGAAAGAAAAAAAAACAAACCACAACTGATTCAGAGGGTGGGGAGGGAAGGAGGGAGGAGATAGGGTCTCACAGACAATCGTTAAGATGGAGCGAGTGCCTGAAATCAGCTGCTATAGCAAAGTGCAACACAAGCACTTAAAGGAAAAATTGCCAGAACCGATCAGAAACCACCAGTCAGCAAAGAGACCAACAGCTGCATTTAACCGAGTAAAGAAATAAACGGGAGGGGGGGGGGGGGGGGGGGAGGAGAGAAAGAAAAAGAGAGAAAACAAACAGTAACAGCTACAAACAGGTCTCAGAAAGAGAGCAGCAGGAAAAGGGGCAGGGGAGAGAAGAGGAAACGGGTGCATTAATAAAAACCAGCCAAACTGGAGTTCAGTAACTCTGAGTAAGATGTGCAAGGGGAAATCACCATGAAGTCAGTAATCAAACAGCTCAGACTGCTACAAAACAATATGTACATCCAAAGTCCAGGCGGCATTACTCAACAGCATTGAAAATAAAAGGGGGAGAAAGGGGAAGGAGGCGGGTGGGGACAACAAGTCAAATCACATTTCGTAGTGTTAATGTGAGATGGCAGATGGATTTTTTTCTTTCTTATTTAATTTTGTTTTTTTTTTATAATTTTAAGAAAAAAGTAAAAAAGTAAAAAAAAAAAAAGAAAAAGCTTCTTCTCTAGCGCTTTTGTTTCACTTACCGCCAACTCGTACCATCGCCAGCATTGTGTATAGTTACCATGGAAAGAGTGAGTCAAGTGAAGGGCCCTAAACGCTAAACCATCGAAAAGGGAAATAAAAAAAACAAAACAAAAAAAAGGCAAAATATGCAGACATCTTACTCAAAAACGGTGGCTTTTTTTTTTAAATATTTGTATATTTTTCTTTTTTTTTTTTTTTTTAAAGAAAGAGGGAGAAAGGGAAGACGCCAGTTAGCCTTCAACACAGTGGAACACCAAAGAGGTCAACATCAGGCATGCCCAATACATGGCCATGTTGGCCAGCCAACATTAACCCTTCACTCCCCTGCAGTGAGAGCTATAAACTTTAAGGATTAGCCTTCACCGAGCCAACTCCTGACAGCAGGCAGGTCAATAAAACAGCAGTATGTGCATAGCATGACCCACTCAGGGCTTCTGCCCTGTGTCTCCCCTTCCCTCCCACCATGGGCATCATCTCACACTTATGTGGAGGAGAACTGGCCTCGGAGGAAAGAGAGGATACTGGCTGGCCCCCTGCTTTCTTTTTTGGACACAGAGTTAGAAGTCAGACAGTACTCTTTCAGTTAGTTTTGTTCAGGCCTGGTAACAGGAAATCGGAGCCTCGCAAACTGAAGCAAAGGAAAAATCAAGACAGCAGAAGGGCAAAAATTTGGAGTGGGTAGGAAAAAAAAAACCACAACAAAACTGAATAAAAGAAGAAAGAAAAGAAAAAAATACCCAAAAGAACAGTAAAAATATTCCATAAGGGGTGTAAACTTTTATACATTTCAGTGCAGGGAGGTGAAGGACAGACACAAACACACACGCACACACAAGACTGGGATCCAAATGTGAAATAAGTGAGGCAAGACACAAAAAGAAATCAAAAGAATAAATATAAAGAAGAAATTGAATTACTGAAGACATGCACCTCGATTTTACGGCCCTCTACCACGGTGCCGTGTAATTTCTCCCTGGCCCTGTCTGCATCAGCACTATTCTCGAAAGTTACGAACCCGAATCCCTGCATGCAGCGGGAGAAGGGGGGAAAACATGCACATCGTTATATATTGAAATACTGATCTCTAGGTAAATAGAGAAAAAATATCACAGTATGAAATCAACATCAGCACAACTCAGCAATAACCTCCTAGAGTCACATTGTTGGTTCATGCATGTTTCATAAATGAAAGAAATTAAATTCGATAAAATAAAGGAACTGTAATCATAATAAGAATAATAATTAAAAAAAAATAAAGAAAGAAAACATAAAAGCAATTGAGGCCAGACCAAAAAAGAAGTACAAAGTTACTCGAGACAATATTTTGGTTCGTTTTGGTTGTTTAAAAACACTAAACCGTGCTCTGACACAGGCAAGCTGGTCTAGCCCAAGCTGGGCTTCTCTCCCCTCTGCTCATTAACACACATGCTTTGGAGGACCCGCCGCCCACCCCAGACACAGTACAGGACATCAACACTGAGCAGCACTTCGTTCTCTTGAGAAACTGCTACGAGAGCGAGCAGCGATCTGAGTTCACGCCTGGCACCAGGAATTCTGCGAAGCTTTGGGTAAATCAAACACTGAACCTTGCTTTTCCCACCTGTAAAATGGAGACAATAACAATTACCTACCTTAGAAAACTGCTGAGAGGAAGGGCTGTTTGTAAAGCATCCCTTGTAAGCTCTTCGGGGCCCAGCTCCTGTCTACTCCTACTTGCCTAATAACTTATGGGGCCCTGGAAGTAAGCAGGGCTTCTAGGTGGCACCACCAAATAAACATTACTTAATGTGAAGATTTAGAGTTTCAAATTTTTCCTATCTATGTATAATGTGTTGGACTTGAGTGCAAATCGAAACACCTAAGTACCGATTAATCAGTAAAGAAAGGTTTTGCCTGACACTGCTGACCACTGCTACCTCCCTCCCACCCTGCTACCCATCTTACTTAAGCTTTGTTCTGAGATGGCAACCTCTGTGCCGTGGACAGCAGCAAATCTCCTAGTTAGAACATGAAATTGGAGACGAATTGATGTTGATGTGCCCTGTCTGCAGCAAGCACAAAGGCTCAATGACCACTAAAATGTCCCTTTAGTTAGATGAATTTAGGTTTACCATACCCATGAAGGCACATGCAACATGCCTGTCCTACATGCTCAGGCTGCTGCCAACTCATGCAGTCGTGTAACAGGGCAGAGTAAGAGATCATGCTTCTTTCCACGGAGATCGGTGCACTGACATTAAAACAGAGGCAACATGACTGAGCCAATTACGATTTTAACAAGTAAAAAATGGTGTGTTACTACAGGCAACTGTGACGAGATATTCTTCTTGCCATTAGAGACAGCAGGGCCAAACAAAAATCTTTGTTGCATTCTGCTTTTAAGGTATCTTAAGCACAGGAGTAACTGACTCCTGTGGCTTGGTAAAAAGCAAAGAGGGGTTTCATGTATGGAGAGTAATCTCTGCTGGCTCCAAGGCCCTCGGGAGCAGGAAGAACAAAGCTTGCATGTGATGCAATGGAAACTCCTGATACTAACTGGAGAGGGAGGTGATGTAAGTGATCTACAGCTATGCCTTGTCAGGGCAATGGCATGCCAGCCTCACAGCCCACTCCATGCATCTTGGGGTCGACATGTAGGGACTAGACCCCCCACATCTTGATTTCTGAGCACTGCTGGCAACAAGACACATGCAGGCCATCATTCTTCAAGTGCTTTTTAAAGGTCTTTACAATACTGATCTTATAAAGCCCAAGAGCCACTTCCACATGCTGGCCTCTATCATCCACAGCTAGGTTTCCAGCACAAAACTGTTACACATTTGTAAAATGCAAGAGTCTTTCTTCCCCTCCCCTGAACAGCAATAATAAAAAAAACTTAGCCAAGTACTGCAGTGTTGAGATCAACAAGAGTGCTCTTTTGGGCTCCAGCCCAATAATTTAGAGCTTCAGGTAATTTCATTTCTCCAGCCATAAATAAAAAGCTATATAAATAAAAAACTGATGCCTTTTTCAGAACAGCTTTTTTTTTTTTTTTCCCTGTTTAAATGATTAAAATTGGAGCTACAAAAGATAGGGGCTAATAAAACAGCCTAACGTCATGTAACTCTCAAATATGCTGCAGGGAACCAGGGAAGGTACTGGGGGTGTAATAGCAAAGCTGATTATGTAGGGATAAGGTATCATGTCTGCTTCAAAGAACCCCTACAGAGAAAGGCAAGACTGAGAAATAGAGCAACACCTTTCCCTCTGGTTCTATATAATGGGGAAAAAGCATCTTTAAAAGGCTATGGGAGGAGGGGAGGTGAAGACTGCAACAGGAATCTCTATTTCCCTCTTTTTACATTAAAATTTCTGTTTGTTCTAGGCAAGCCTGTGGAGACCGAATGAAATTTATGTCTTCTGTGATGATGTGAACTGAAAGCTAGAGAGCACAGGGAAGGTAATTTTTTAGACATCAATCTGTGCAGGCCAGAACCAAAGCAAGACTATTTGAATTCCTATTTGTTTGCAATTAGCGAAGTCTGTACGGGATTTTAAAACCACATTATCAATAGATATCTTTAAATGGAACAGGAGTTTTCAATGTTTTTAATAAATTAACTGAAGGTAGGATAAATCCACATGTGAAAATAAACAATGTGAATTAAAACAGAAGTAATCCTATTCGGAACAACACAACTGATTACCCACAATTTTAGTTTTATTGACAGATCAGTCCTTAGCTTGTGCAACTCTCTTTGTTGAGAACCATTTAATGTCAATGCTGAATTAATGCTTTACATGGTTGACTATGGCAGTCAGTATTTGTGCCCCCTTGGTTTGTCATCTTAATGCATCTCTTAAACATTCAAAATTTTTCATCAGGATAAAAGGTGAGCCATGCTTGACATTTTTGTTATTTCTAAGTTTAAAACCTAGCAATTATATATATACACATATGTTTGATGTGGGAGAGACAAATAGCACATACATATAGTTTTAACTCCTTCTCACAGATGACCTGTAAAGAATAGGGATCAATTTGTACCTAAATACATATGCAACAAACAATTCTCTGTTTCTCCTCCCAAGGTTGTCTTGCCCTTGAAAAAAAGAAAGAAAACAAAAAAGAGGTGGCCGATGTCCAGTATTTACTTGCTTAGCTTTAGAGCAGGTACTGGTTTGCTCCATAATTAGTAGGTATGGAGCCAGAGGAAGGGAAGATACAGTCCTGGGTAAAAAAAACAAAACACTTAAGGTTTCTAAAATTTAGATTATACAACTAGGTTGGTTTAATAATGCTGTTACAGTAACAAGGCTGAAATTTTCAACAATTCCTCTCCACCAGCAATTGCCAGGAACTTCTGCCAAGCAGAAAATAAGTTTAAACCTCAGTGTACCCATAAAACACTAAATAACCCCAGCAAACATTTTTAGGACTGGTGAGTAGTTTGCAATGCCAGACTAACCCCTTTTTACCCAAAGGTTTATTCAAAGGGCCTGAAGAGACCGAGTAACTGCCACCCTTTTAGTCTGGCCTCAGATTCTGCAATAAATAACAAGCAACATGATGAGCAGTGAAAATAAAATAATAAATGTGTATATATATATATATAGTATTTGAATGTTTCCATCTCTGAAGAATGAGAAAGAAAATTTACCATGTAACCGTAAAGGGAGAAATCAAAAGCAGACGGTTCTCCTGGGTGTGGCCAGAACACAGAAATTAAACAGAAAAAAAAAAAAAAAAAGAAAATAAAGTAAAATAAAATAAAAAAAAGAAAATAAAACCAAAGGAAACTAAATAGAGCCCCTTGAAATCCATGCATTGTTAACCCTTCTTTTGTCACAGTTTATGACCAGTCACCTCAGCAGCAGCGTCTTTGCCTTGTACCACTGGAGCACGCAGCTAGCAACCGGCCTTGCCATTATCTGCTGCTGTGATTGGTTTTAACCAAGTTCTTTCTTTTCTGTTTTTTTTTTGGGGGGGGGTGGGTTTTCTTTTTTTTTTGTTTGTTTGTTTATAATGGAAATAAGGAGAGAAAAAACACTTTTAGGAGCCTGAAAAAATGGCCAAGGAGACAGCAGTTTAGGCTATCCGTTTCCAAGGCATATGGAAAGAGTAGGAGGGTGTCAGCTATAATCCACCTGAGATGAGCAGGACTGAATACACCGACAGAAACACAGCATGAAATTCAGAAGCACATTACTGAAGTTACACACAAATGAACACTTCAAATTGGTGAGGGAATCGGTGCACACCAAGCTGCCACCATTCAGCAGCTCTTCCACCTCCTCCCTTGCCTCTGTGCCACACTTGGAGTGCATTCAGGTGCATACACATAAAGCACCCATCTGAGTACCTGTGCAATCTGGTGAACCAGATGCAAGGATTAATCAGGCTAAAACCCCCAAAAACGTACCTTCAAAATAAAACCCTGCAGGGCTGGATCCTTTTTTTTTTTTTAAGCTGGATCATTTCCCTGGTTCTGCTTGTTGTGTTGCTGCACTGCCAAGCCCTCCTGCAAAACCGAGAAGGGGGCAGAGGCCAGGAGTGAACAGCAGGAGTCTGGCCAGTAGCTGCGCAGAGGGAGCTTGGGGCTTCAGAGGAGCTCCAGCCACCTTGGGCCAGGGGCTTCCACCCAGGTCACGGGCTTCACAGCCCTGTATTGTTCCCAGCTGTGCGCTCCTCTTCTTCCTTCCATCAAACGTGGATCTTACTGCATGGTCTGCGAGTTCAACTAGCTAAGCTGGCAGAAGACAAGCTCCTTTCTCTCTCTCTTACTGCTGCGCCAGTTTTTGGCTAATTTAGCGCCCTCAATTCAACTCCCTGCACAGTAAACAAGCACTACTGGGAAGGCACTCCCACGGGAGCAGTAAATCAGTTTATACTATCAAGCCATCAACTTCAGCCTTGATTATTCAAGTTTAAATAAAACAGTTCAGTGTATGGACTAATTTAACTTGTTAGTTTAGTATCACAGAGTTGAAGGCATAAAACTGTACTTCACTGAGCTAGGATAAAGGGACACAGGTCAGGTCTCTTTCACGCTACTGGCATTATAAAGGGATTTGGTGACCTGAGAAAGCAACACTGGTCACTGGCACTTAATTTCTTAAGCCTCTTTGCGTTAATAACGCTATTTGTATTTCTGGTTCAACTCAGGACATCTGCACAAAAATTATAAAAATAGAATTAAAATTAAAACAAGACCTCTAATTCTTTTTGTGTAACAAGGGGTGGTATCTTTTTCACTCAGTGGAAACTTGTGGCTCAACTCAAAGCACCTAATCCATTCGAAGAAGAAATAAACAGACATGCAAGCATACAGTCTTTTCAGCACAGTTATCAAACCCTAAATTCATACTCTCAACCTACAGTTAACTGCAAATGTAAAAAAAAACCCAAACCCTAAGTGTTTCCACATTGCTTTGTGCACAAGATTTTAGTTAGTACCTCTTTACTTAGAGAACTCAACTCAGCCACAGATGCAATTTCTTGGTGAAGACACAATGTAAACTATTATGCGACCCATTTCTTAATTAGATCTGAAGTGCTTCTATGATTCTATCACGTCAGTCATTTGCAAAAAACTTGGGATATCTGGGACTCCCAAGTGGAAGGCAGTGCATAAACTTACACTATCCTGAAACGACGAGCTTGCAGTCTGCACTGACATGAACTCCTATTGCTCCCTATTCTGCCAAGATTTTGCTGTGTGCTTACGCACTCTTGGTCTCTGAATGTCATTGAGGGCACATCTTGGCATACCACATGGTACACAGCTGATGAGCAAAGAGCTTGGATTCTCTTCCCCTGCAGCTTTATGAATGCCACAGGGTACTTGATATGCAGGCAGACTGCATTAATTCTGAAAATATGTCCACTTGTCCGGTTCAGCACAACAGGGCCAAAATATGCATCTAGAGGATGCACCTCCACTAACAAAAGGAGCAGGAATCCTCTCTCTATACTTCTTCTGGAGGTGTTTTATTCACGGTCCAGTGAAGTGCATGGTAAGCTGCAAACATGAGCAGAATGCTATTTAAAGGCATTTATATGGGTCAGAACTAGAAATGTAACGGTAAACAGGATAAAAGAAGCAAACAGCTAGTTTCCTGGAAGCAAGCAAAAAACCTGAACACATCAAGGGAAGACTGATGTCATTCTATTAAACAAGAACAAACCAAAATGAAACTGAAGGGATGTTTAAAGTTTGTATCTTGTTTGTTATATGTAGCAAATGGGTATCAGTGTGATGTCTACCAGGGACCACATAATCCTACTAAAACACATTGAATCCAGGCAGAAATGAAGTTAGGAAACAAGGATCTGCACTGCTTTGAGAGGAGAATCAGCAAAACTAATTTTTTAACTGTCTCCTACTCTGATGCAATACAAAAGTCAACAGATAACATTTCCTAAGCCAAATGCAAGAACCTGAGGCGTGAGGAGGCTGTGATGGACACACGCTGCTCTCTCTTTGGTCACCAAACTTCCTAAACACACAGAAACCCCAAGGACACAGCCAGTTTGATATCGTTCCCCCAGGCTGTCGAAGAACACTGCCTGCTCATCTCAGGTGGATTCAAAAGGAAGGATGCAACCCACACACTTCCTCCAGTCCCTCCTACCAACCAGCACTGGAGCGATCCCAGCAGTGTTCTCTTGCCAAATCTCGGCAGGGACAAAGCGCTGCTCAAACCCATTGTACACTGGGTGGGGGCGAACCCAGGGCAGTTTGGGATTTACCACTGTACCTTTTACATAGTTACAAAACATAATACACAAAACTCTACAACCCTTAGGAACCCAGGGAAGGGAAGGGAGCATTGAGAACACAGCACAAGGCAGGCAGCAGGAGCATCTGCTTTCGGATTCCCAAGAGAGAGGAGGAGAAGAAGAGAGAGAGGTTTCATATCATTAGATTAGAAGGGAAACCACAGGGCAGGAAAATGCATTCAGATTTTTATTTTATTTCCCTAAGGTGGAGGAAGAACCCAAGAGTGAGTGAGTGGCCTCCAGAAAGATCCATTTCCTTTGCTTCACCATCAGATCAAACTATTGCTTTTCCATTATTATGTGAATACCAGGTGCTTCGTGCAGCTACACCCCACTCAAACACTGGGGCCTCCCATTTTCATGCTAAGCAGGAATAATCTTGCATTCTTTTTAAAACAGGAATTATTTTGGGTAAAGAAGGATGCAAAGACACCACAAAATTATTATTTGGGTGCTTCTTCATTCTGTTCAGATTCTGCCCCATTCCTCATAGTGGCTATCAGTTTTACAACTGCTTTCTGCTGTAAGATGACAAAAAAGCAGTGGAAAACTGCATGGTAAAGGACTGGAAGAACATCTCTTTGGATCACTTTCTTTTTTCATGTATTTATTAAGGGTCCAGGATAAAATTCATCAAGGAACTCTTCAGCAGTAACTTTTGTTTTAGCTGAAAACCAGAAGCCTTGGGCTGTAACAACTGCACAAGGTATTTTTCATAAGTCATAAATTGTCTTCACAGAAAGACACCAACGTCAATGTTGCCTAGAAGGGAAAGGGCAGCTGTGGGCGTTTTAATACAGGGTTGTATGGATGGAAAAGAGGGAGTGAAGTTCATGTGCAGAGAGGGAAATACTGCTCTGGAAAGCACAGGCAGTGGGGGACGAAGGATAGAGCTCACCACTTTGCCAGGCCAGTTATTTTTGTTCTTTCTTTTGCAATTACATCCAAACAAGCAGGGATTTGATAGAGGCCAGAGGCTATTCCCAAAGCCAAATAGAAATGACTAAAATCAAGACTAATTCACAGATAGGTCTGGCCTATAAATATCATAAGAACAGCCAAGAGCAGAATAAATATTTACAAACTCAGCATAGCTGTTTGGGTAAAGCCTATAGATTTGTATTCACAGAGGGACATAGAACTCTCTAGCTAAGCCATGCAGACATTGACTTGTTCAGACTATCTAATTAAAAAGAAAAAAAAAAAAAGCAAACCCACAACAAAAAACACCCACCAAAACCATGGTATTAAGCACAAACAAAGGATGGGGAAAGGGCTAAGGCTCATCCCTTTTCTATACACAACTGCTTTCTGGTTTCCAGCTAATATAGACACTGAAGAATTTCAGAATGCATCTTGGGCAACATGGGTAGAAATTTGCGGAGGGCTCTGAACATGAACATACCCCAGGTTGTATGTTGAAGCAAAGAGGCCACCTTAAGACTGTGAACCTCAAATCCAAGCGAAAGACATAGACTCTAAACCAAAACTGCTTAGATGAATTGCAACTTCAAAATCTCTTGTGTGCATGCACACATGTGCACACACGTGTGTGGGGGGAGGAGGGAAATTTTGTTTTAATTGAAAATGGGAATCTTAGCATTGATTAAGTCAAGCAGAGTATAGACATGCACTGTGCAAGCTTCCCCCATAGAGCTTTGGCAATGCACCTTGCTCCTGACCTGCAAAACTCCCTGCTATTCCAGTGCTGAACCTCCTGGGCAGAGAGAGAATCACATCAATTTGTCATTGTGGTGATACTGGTTATGTGAGGAGAACCAATTGCCAATTAGGACAAAGATCACTGACTCTCTCTGCAGCTGACCTGAGCAACATTTGAAATCTCATCTCCAGAGAAATAAACTATTACCATTAACCCTCAACAAAGCATCCCTCTTAACACATCTGTAAGATGAAAATAGATGTGTGAGCGCAAATTCAGGGGGAAGAGGTCCACACTGGGCAGGGCAAGTGGACTGAGAATGCTTGTATTAAGCATCAAATATCTCAAACACGAAAGGTCAGTATCTCAGAAGTGCCAACTAAGTCTGCAAAATAAGAGTAAATAAAATCCTTTCACATATGAGATATGATGCTTTTTCTATAGAAGTATTTTAATGCAAAAGAAATACGGTTTGAGGGTTAGGGGCCTTAGGCTTTGTTCTTACAGTCTCCCATCACTCAAAGCTGTTTTACCTTGTTCTGCCTTCCCCACAGGGTATCCATTGCTAGTGCAATGGGAATGGGTTGGTACAAAGGCTTAAGTGACTGACTCCCTGTTTGTTCAAAAGGCTGGGGAATCTGATCCCACATTATGGATAGGAGTGTCTAGGAGCATTTGTACATGCTGCCCAGAAATGACCATGCTCAGAGTCTGGAGTCAGAGGGAACAGGAGACAGTCCCCAAAATAGCTTTTCCCTTCCCCCATCACACTAATTCCTGCTGATCTCTACAGAGGATATTCTCTAGGCAATGAACTGCCTTTTACTCTGCAATCAAAACAAGAGAAGCGGGTACAAAAACAGGACTTACCTTCGAGCCACGCTCATTAAAGATTATCTCTACATCAAGGATTTTGCCGAATTGCTGCAGAGAGACAAGGGGGGGGAGAGAAGAAAATATTTACTTTTGGCAGTCCATTTTTCCTACCTTTTGGGGGCTGGCTGAGCACAAGAAGGGAGCTGAGAATATTTCCATTTCTATCATACAGGCAAAGGCATAAAAATCTCAGTGACATGACCCAGTTCTCTTGGGTTAGGACATGAGGATCCTCTTGGTCACAGACCCCAGGTTTTCTCACAGAAGTCTACAGGAAGAAAAACAATCTCCAGAAGCGTTTTAGGGATTTAAGGTTGCTTTTCTTTCCTCCCTTTTAATCTAAACAATTCTTTCTTCCTTCATTCTATTTCATCTAAGACATGGTTATACGATTTCATCTCAGACATCTAACAACATTTCCCAAATGCAATTCAGCATTTCATCTTCCTCCTGAAGTGGCTATCACAAAAAGAAATTTGTTTCTCTGGAGGAGATAGTCACATAAGACACCCAAGCTCAGGGATTCCAAACTCTGAATCTCCTTTCCTCCCACCTTCCCTTTATTTCCCAAAACTCCAAGCCTTCACAACGATTAATGACAGATTCAGAAACCATGAAAATGGCCATCTCCCAACAGTTTGCTCTTCAAAAAAGGATCATTAAATTTCAACTTGTGACATACAGCAGGCTGTTGATAACCTATGCAAATTTCTCATATACGATAAGATTTTGACCTCTATTCTCAGCCTGGAGACCCTGGGGAAAGCAGGACCCCGCTACTCTGTTCCCACACTGGCTCCAAAGAGCTTTCTACGCAGCACAGAGCAAAAGTGGGAAACAAGAGCTACAAGCTAGAAAGGAGATTATCACACTCTGTGGAACCATACATGGATCATATCCTTCTACTTGGATCATATGTAAGTATATTTATTGAACTGGCCAAATTCAGAACAGCAGCCTATCGCTAAAGGTATTACCAATATTGTGTTTCCAAAAACTGGAGGTCTTCTCTCCGGAAACACAGGTCTAAGGTCTCATTTTCAGTAAAATATATATAGAGTGGTCTTCACTCTAGAGATGAATATTGCACTCAAGACAAATGCCGTATCTGAGCATCTTTCCTACCCCATTATTTATGGAAGCTTCCATCAACGTGGGTTTGATATTGCTGCTTGCAGAAGATTTACAGGTGGTAGCAAATGAAGGAAGGGTCAAAAGAAGAAAGGATGGTTTCAGGTTAGGAAAGACGATGACCACAGGCTCTGCACACTGGGACACTACTCTTTGCCATGGTGCTCTTAATATTGTATTTGCCTTTTTTTTTTATTAACATTTCCATGTGGAGCCAAATAGGTATAATGCTCATTCTGTGGGTACCCTGCTTGAAGAAAGACTTGCGGCCAGATTTGCAAATATGGGACATTTACAACAGTGAGCCACAAAGACTGAGGAGAAGTTCTGAATATGTAAAGCAATAAAAAGCTATTAAGTCCCTTGAAGAAGCACTCCACAACTGCCTGTAAGCAAGCAAAATACTTGCAGCAATTTTAGCTATAGTCTGTGTCTGCTTCCATTTCCCATCCTTGAGAAGGAGATAGTTGTATTCTTTTACAAATGTTGGTTCACAGATGCTGTTTTTGTTGTTCTATTGTTTAAGGACAATACTGGATCTTCTATTCATCCCAAGAACAATTGAATTCACAATATCCTACGTTACACAAAGTTTGAATAATGCTAATGTAAACATGCATCTTCCTTGAAACCTCAACATCTCAATAGCTTAGGCTTGATCCATGCTGGATCCTCTTTTGACCACTGCTGTGCCAATCACAGCTAAAATACGTTTTCTATTTCTATCCCATGCTTGATGTGGGCTTCTCTATAAAGGAGATTAGCTGTTGATTGCTTTTTGTTGTCTTTGTTGCATATGACTTGGGCACTGCCATGAAAGAAATCAGTCATGATTGCTTTCTTGGTAGACTATTTCAGTGTCGTTACACGACAGGGGCTGAACCAATTTAACAGCCCCCAGCTGCTGCAGGGCTGCCCCTACTCCCTTGTCCGGTCTCACCAGCTTCTTGAAGCTGGTCCCTGTTTTCATTCTCACCTGCAGGTAAACTGACAGAGCTCACCAATCCTGCAAAAACCTAGCTCAACAAAAGGAATAAATATTAAGTTTTTGACGATTTACTGCTCTGAAGTGCCTCAAAGGGTCAGGAAAGCATTAAGGCTTTGGGAAACACAAGGGAATGGAAAGCAGCACATGCTGCTCAAGAGCAGGATCTGGCCCTGGCCATATCAGTTCGGCTGCCTAGCCTTGCCACACACACTGAAAAGCTGGGCTCTCTATAAATGCAAATGCCAGAATTATTTTCAGAATCTTCAAAGCCTAAGAAAAAAAACAAACTTAAAAAAAAAAAAATCACCATTTTCTACCTCATTAGAATCATCTTGAAAGAGAACAAACTGTGCAGCTTCTGGTGCACAATTATGCCATGCCATCTTCCCCTTTCTCCACACCCAGCTGGGCCTGGATCCTCGGGTACTGCTGCCAGCGCTGCCTGCCAGCCCCGTTGGGCTCAGTGCACTGCACAGGGCTCCCACACCAACAGGAAATCCTTGTCTTGTGCGTTTCATGGCTTGTGGCTGACAAAAAGCTGGTGGTAATGCTGAACACCAGTGGTCTGACCTAGCTCCACGAGAGGTGACAGGGCTGCCTCCCTGCCCTGCAGATGATGGAGGTACACAATCTCCTAGATGACAGAATTAAGATCACCAAATCCTAAGGCTGCAGCAAGCACAGGCTTGATGTCTACTGCAACGGGCTACATCCACCCGTGCAAGCGGCCCCAGTCTCTTTTCTACCTAGGAGCTGAGGGTGTTTGAGGAGGCAGGAGGGAAGGACCTGCTTGGGAGAGAAGAAGCAGAGACAACAGGAGCTAACTGCTGAACTGAGGTTTGCTGGGGAGGGGTTTCCTGCTCTATGAAATTCCCTGGAAGAAAGTAGCATGGCTATGAAGCAGAAGGACATGCACTGGGCTCTTCAAGACTGTTGCAGCCATTGTCACAGCTGCTCTGACAGCTCCTAACACCAAGGCTCTTGTCATTGCTGCTGCAATGGCTACAGCAGGTCCAGCCCTGGAGGCACTTTTGCTTGGGTAGCATGCCAGACTTTTCCTGAAGAATGAAAGCAGGGAAAAAAAGAACTAGTCCATTTTAACAGTTTGTATCTCCTTCAAAGCTGAATCTAATTTAGTGGAACATAAAAAGGCACTTTGTTCTCTGATGTTGCTTGGCCTACCAAATGTCAACAGCCTACTGCAAACAATGGAAGTTTTAAGAGCTCCTTAGTGAAAGGTCGCAATTTTTGTATGGAAAATGCTAGGCCATTTAAATACAAGGGTCAACACCAAATGCCCTCATAGTAATTTTTTAAGATCGTGTATACAGGCATGTTTGTATTTTCTAGCAGACAGAGGGGCTATCCAAATAAAACAAAACTCATACTTAGGTCATCCATGAGCACTAACCCTCTAATCTCTAACCTTGAATACATGAATCACTTTGCTCAGACTTGATTTGTTCACTCAATGATCACCAAGAACTTCTATTTCCAATCCTGCACGGCAGCCAAGGAAAAAAAAATCCTTGGCAGAGTTCATAGCCTCTGAAGAAGGCATTGCAGGACTACACATTTCAGATGCTCCCCTCCGAGACTTAAAAAGCTTCACAGTCACACACAGTAGTGTGACCAAGAAACCAGCATCCCCCATCACACGTCAAGTCATGCAAGAAGCCTCCTCCATGAACTGCTCATGCACATGCCATATGATGGATTGATAGACACACACACTTCCACTCATGCCATGGCATAGCTACTGCAGCTTATTTTAACTTAGAGCTCCATTCCCTGGAGTGACCTTGTACAAGCTCCTACTTATTTTTCTGTAAAGCAGGTAAATGAGAATCATCTCCTCTATAACAGTAGCAGGGGCTGTGGAAAATAACAGTCTTAAGAGGCATAAAGATATTAACAGACATCAGCTATGACCAGAACGCAATTTTCTTGCTTGAACATTATGTATCTTATCACAGATGCAAGGGAATGGTGCAAAGAAAGGTATACACATGCTGTGTGTTTCTCTCCACCCAGATGCCACGAAGGCAGCAGATTTTTCCTGCAGAGGCCATAACTCCATTATATATACTAAATTTAAGAGATCTGGCACCAGAAAGCTTTTGCCTTCCAAAACACTGACAGTTTGGTAGGGCCTCTCCTGTATACTCTGTTCCAGCTGGCCCTGCCTCCTCTCCCTGTCCAGATCTTTCAAAATCAGCTCCAATACATACCAGACAAATAACTTAACCCTAAAGATGCTAACAAGAGGGAATATCAGACAAATTCTCTAGAAATTACAGAACAACAAAAGGTAGTGGTGAGACACCATTAATGACCTCACATCCCTCCAAGTGAGCTCTGTATTCACACCAGCTTTGCACTGGCCCTGCAAAATTCACTCAAAGATGAGTGCAGTGAACTATCAAACCTTGAAGACACCAAACAGATCCTTCTCAAAGATGGTCAAAAAAGCCTTTTCAGGTCCTCAGACTTAAGCAAGAGCATTTCATATACAGGATAGGTCCATGCTGCAGAGAGCATCCTTACCCTAGCTCCCAGCTCCACAGGATATACTTTCAGCTCAGAACATCTGTCACATAGTACCATGTATTAGTCAGTGCTTAATTATGGCAGCATGGGGTCTGCCAGAGCTATGCTGCTATCAGTACATGAACTTCCTCACCTAAAGCTGAGGTGGGCCAACCCTCTTCAGCCAAGCTACACCAGTATGCTTTGCTGACAGGAAGATGGAAACACTGAGGATTTATAAACCAAAGCACTACCATAGTTTACCAACTGAACAGACAGTAAACAAGCACCACCAAGCCCTTATTAGGGTTGACCTGTTGCCCAATAAAACACGTTTTCTACGAAACCAGGCTTTTAACAAGAAGCCACACAAACAGCAAAGATTTCTAATAGGATTTAC